ACAAATGTAGAGCCAAAAGGGGAAGTCTTGGTCACATGCAGTGCTCTGGAATAGCCAGCAGGCATATTCAAATCATTTATAAACTTAGCAAGCACCAAATAAGAAGTCAGATCTTTTGTATCTAAGGCTTCTACTGCAAGGCAGCTGCAAAATCTTTTTGAGCCAATCTGGAAAATTTCTGGCCTATGTTTCTTCATCACCTGTTTATATCTTAGTGCTTCTTTGAAAGACAGGTGTAGGTGTGTTTATTCCTCCCTTGTTTCCCCTATTTGCTTATTTATAGAAGCAGTCATCTCCCCCTGTGAGCTCAGGGAATTACAGACGTCATTGCTGGTATGAATGTGGCTAAGTAGGAAGGCACAGTGCTGCTAAGGTTCACGGTGAGAATTCACTCTGATCAAACCTCTTTACTTTTAGTCTAAGTTTTTAAAGAGCTATTCTGTATAACACTGCCGCTTCCATCCAGTCTAAAGGCTGCATCTTTCTTCAGTTTTGGTAAGCCCTATGTGGTATGAGGAGGACTGATAGTTCACTAAATCTTAAAACGGACAGATGTGAAGCACAATTTTTCAACCAGAGATGGTTTAGGTTGTTTTTTCAGGTGAGGATTAATAGAAAAATTGAAATGTAAGAAAAAAGCAGACTGTAAACATTCTGCTCTCAAGTCACTGCAAGTTCTGCACTTAATCAACAGGCAGGCTGCATTTTGCGTTCAGAAACATGCGTTTTTAACTGGTATTTTGTTTTTGAAAACTGACCTGTTATCAACATGCTTTGAAAGGCTTGCAGCTTAGTGAAGCTTTTTTTTTTTCCTCTTCATTCATTGTTCTGTTCTTGTATTTATTTCAAAACACCATACACCGAGGTTTCCAAAAAGTCTGCGTGATACAACTTTATTGTTTATAATATTAAAATTGAGAAGACACTGTATTATGCACCAATTATAATATATTTTTTTAATGTGAATGTGACAAGTTACTACACTGAAAAATAACCTGGGTAAAAAATTTACTTTTTTGTTCCTATCAATAACAGACATTTCATAGCTCAAAAAGGAAAGAATTCCAACAACTTTTTTTTTTTTCTTTTATGAGGTTTTTGAAATAAAAGATTTCGTTTTGAATTACCAAATAATGTTTGGAAGTATCAGGGATATTATCAATGTAGTGCTGTAATTCTTCTATAATGCACGTCACAGGAATAATCATCTCTCTATATATGCAGAACTAAAAGTATATATACGCATATGTGCATACAAATGGAGTATTTATAGTGCAAAAATAGATGCAAAAACATTTTAGGGCAAAGGAATCTGTTTCTTGCAATAGATGTTATAATAAAATAGAAAATCCCTTTACTTGCACAAAAACATGTGTTGGACATTTCTGAATACAGTCAAGAAACTTCCAGGTAAACTTTGAAAAATAGTCACTCTAGGATTTGCTTCTGTATTTTAACAAATTCCCAGTGACTGTGTGTTGAGCTTCATTGACCAGACCTCCAAAACATGACACCTCTTCATTTTTATACTGCTATTTTTCTTCAAAGCATCCAATATTTATATACTTGTGGCATTTCTCTGTTCATTGCTTAAACAAAAATAGCTCAATTTGATGAGTGTCAGATGTAGAGTGGTTATTTCCTTACCAACTTTAAAACCAAATCTGTTTTTAACAATAGATACTATTTTCCATAATTCAAATAATTAATGCAGCATGCACTAACATGTTTTCTGAAAAGTACAGAGTTTTTACACTTTCAGAAAGAAGGAAAAAGTGCAGGTTAAAGTGGCAATCCATTCTTCCATACCTGTGTTGCTCCTGTTTTTCAGCCCGAATGTATTTTTTGTTCCTGTGCTGAAGACATTTAGTCTTTAAGACTATAAAACCAAAACCAGTCTAAATTATCATGGGAGACCTCTGAGTCCTTAATGAATTTTGGTAAGACCCTGAAACAATCATACATGTACGTGACAAGAATATTCTTTATCAGAGGTTTGTTGAGCTGGAGCACTATTTCAGGTTTTCCTATTCAGGACATAGAAATTTAAGCTTAAATATACTCTACATGCCAAATATTACCAATGTCATGTTGGCCCTCCGTGTTTCTGCTAGTAAGCCAACTCTGTTTCTGTTGAGACTCTATAGACTTTATTTTTTTGAAGCAATGTCTAGCCTAACACCTGATACATATCATTTAATTCTATTGATAATGGTGATTTTCACAGTTGTACATTAAAAGAACTAGGCGAGACAGAGGTCTAATTCAACAGATTTTGTTTTTTTCTAATCACTTTCTCGATAAACTCAGAGTTGGTCATCAATATTCAAGGTGCAGCCGTATGTTTTACGGATGCAGAAGAAATAACTCCTACATATTAACCTTTGCTTTCAAATGTCTTATGGCTACAGTTACCTGCCTATTTCATCTTGAGGTCAAGTTAAGATAGTATTGTAGTATTTACCTCCTTTGTTTTAATTTGAGGATCTTAAGCTGTCTCTTCATGGTCTGGAATTGTCTTCAAACTTACTGGGTAAAGAGAATTTACCACTGCATCTTATTCTTGAGGAGTTCAAAGCTTGGCTTTTCATTTAGGTCCACTTGGGTGTTCTCACCATCCCTCTCTCCCCACCTTCCCTCCCTCTCACACACACAGTAGCACTGTGATCGTTGATATGAAATCTCCTGCTAACTTAAAAAGAAAGGTTTAAGGCTAAATTTTCTTTGTGAAGAGAAAGCCTTTCACTGGGAACTAGTTCCAGTCTTTTGCCCAACAAGTTTGATAAACTTTAGAGTATCCTGAGGCAGTGCTTTTTTAATCTGCAGTCTCACAGGCCTGTAGAGTAGCAGAAAAGTTAAGAGTACAGATTTTGAATATCATCTTTTTTTTATTTTTCCCTGTAAAACTATTTTGGAGAATGGTTAGAGATCACTTCTGCTAATGGAAAAAAATATATATTTATATTTATTTTTTAAGTTTTACAATAGGCACTGTAAAACAAACCTAAATAAACCCCAAGTGAAGGGAGAATTGGGACTTACTTAGTAATTGCTAAGTAGCATCAACTTATTGAAAAGTTAGTCAATTTAACCGTTATACCAAGTGCTCATGTTTGGTTAACTATGGTATTCCACACTTGCTGAATAATACAGCTTGCTTTGTTTTGCTTTTTTTTTTATTTTATTGCATAGGAGACTCCTAAGACAAATTGAGGACCCTTAAGAAATTTTCCAAACAACAGCTCCCATTTAACTGTTGCCAGGAAGCTGACTGACACATCCCTCTTGTGAGATCATGCAAAGCTTCTTAGCATATCTTCTTGAAATAGTTAGCTCTTAAAGAAGCAAAACCAAACTTGTTCTTCCATTTTTAATCTCTGAAAGCTAGTTCTGTTGGTAATTATTCTCTCAGCTACTCTGACTCCTAGCTTTATGCCCATTTTAGCAACAGCTTTATTCCCCTTATATCCTCTGTCCCAGCAGACTAGGCGAACGTATTGCTATGTTCCAGGGCCACTGCAACATTCCTAGGAAAGGTGCATCCCACGGTTTTGGTGTAGAAACATGGAAGGACCTTAGGTTTGTCTTGCACTGTACCATCCCAAACTCCATCTCTTGTGTAGAAGAGCAGTGCCGCTGCTCTGTGCTCGTAGGTTTCTTATACGACCTTACAGCTGGAATTAATTGTACTTACAGGACATAAATGAGTTGCCAATTATGACTGTGGCAGTCACCTGCATTTACAAATTGTTTGCCTGTGAAAATTGGTGAACTACTTGCTACTCAGCAACAATGAATTTCACATTATAAATAGCTGAAGGACGTTGCTGTCGTAACATTATCATTATGACAAATTATTATTAACTATTACAGAGTATTGACAGTGTTCATTATTGATACAATGTCTGCACTTCTACTTGGTTTAGCATAGTGCTTCTGCTACAGCAGAACATTAGCTCTCCAAATACTCAGAAACAACCTCGATTTGTGAGTCAAAAACTCACTAAAAAGAAATGTCATAAAACTGATGTTAAAGTGGCTTATGTGAACTAAGCCTACATTTGAACATAAAACCAAAATAGATGGAAAGTAACCTTAGAATTCAAAATCCTACAAATTAAAGTCATTAAAACCTCAAAATGAAGTTGTACAAACAGGGAATTCAATACATGTGAGCAGAGAGAAAGAAGGCAGGCTTGTCTCTCTGTCTGTCTGTCCAGACTTAGTACAGGAGTGATGGGGACAATCATCTCCTTAGCGCTGTTCCTTCCAAACAACTCTTCAGGGACCAGGTGCATCATGTAATGTTTATCACTCTTCTATCAGTAGAGCGTTTTGGTATTACGATGTAGACTTTGGGTTCTTGTGTCCTACGAGAAAGTCCTAGAAGGTCAGCCACAGCTTTTGTTATGGTAATGAAAACTCATTCTATCCTTTTTCATTTTTTGATTGATAGAGAGTGATGACACTGTGTCCTTGTCTTTTTGAGGTGCTAGAAGTACACAAAATTATTTTGTTTGATTGACAACATAATTGGGGAGAGAAAAAAAAAATAGAGAAAAAAAGAAACTGAAAGATGCCAGAAATGGCGAACAAACAGGACAGAATGAAACTGATTATTTTAAAACCAAGCAGTAAACAGAATAAATGGTTTTCATTTTCGTTATTTGTACTGTATGCTTTCCTATGAACAAGTTTGAAACTGAATACTGAGTATGCCAATGTAAAGTATTTGGTAAACAGAGGTTTATAGCTAGGTGTTTCCTGAGAACCAATCTCCAGCCCGTAAATTATGGAATAATATATTCATTTCCTTAGGTACTTCGTAATATGACGTAAGTACTCAGTTTTCTTCTTTTAGAAGTCATAATTCTGTTTTATACCTAAATCAAACGCAAACTTTTAACAAAGCATTTCTTTCTGGCCTACGCTGCTGCACATTGTTGGAAACCCCTTCAAAACAAATTATATAAAATGCAAGGGTTTTCAGAGGCCTGGGGCAAAGGCTGAGACAATGATTTATTAGGCGTCATTATAATGTAACAGATCAGGGTTTCTTTCCTTTCAAAAGGAACCCGCACTCCTCCGTGCAGTGCAGGTGTCTGTCTTCATCCATTTCTGCTGTGGCTTTTTGCATCTTGTTCTTTGCAGTACCTGAGTCTGCAGTGTATCTTCTGCTGCATACCTTTTTCACTCAAAGGGTGGAGGAGACTGGGACAGACCTTGTAGCAGAAAAAAAATATAAATTTGTCAATTTCAGAAGAATTTAACAGACAAATTGTAGAATGTGCTAAGCAGTCTTTACTCTTGTCAGTTTTGGAAGGACCTGAAGGAGCTTAGCAGCTGTAAGACCATAGCCTTCCCTGCAAGGGAAAAGTTCTGGGGTTATTATCAAATATATTTCTACTCTTGGTAACAGGTAAAAATAGCAGTGTTAATTATTTTTCTTTAGAAGAATCTTAACAGTGTTTTATGTGGTCATAATCATGAATCATCTCCCCAGTCTGACACACAGCTTATCTTCTTATTTATTTTTATGTTCCTATTCAGAACCCATCTTTTCCTTTTTCAGAACAGACCATGAAAATACGTTTCACTGTGGTATTTCTGGCAGCAGGCAGAAGGCGTGGCTGGTTTACTATATGTTTTTATTTATCTACAGATGCAGCAGCTTGAGAGACAAGTTATAGATGCTGACCGTCAAGCAGAGAGGGCTTTTCAGCAGGTATATCTAAATTGAAAAATACCTCCACTAGCTATGTGCATGTTAAGGTACTGTTACCAGAGGAAATTCAGAAAATTGCTTTCTGTCTAAAGTATTGCTCAAAAGGGAGAAGACAGCTTCCTTTTACATCTACTGATTTGTCTTAGTAGAGATGTCCTTTGCTTGCTGTCCAGTTCAGTAAAGTCAAAGCTAACAGAGCAAATCCAGAACAGATGCATGTAATGGACTACTTCATTGATTAATATAAATAAAAGGGAGAGGAAACAGTGACCTATTTTAGAAAAACCTTAAAAAAATAAAGGAAGGCTAGCCAATACAGTCTCTAAATAGAACTGTTCTGTGCTGCTTGTTATTCTTTAAAAAAAAAGTATTTTGCCAGTCCTGCTGGTATTAGATGCAGAGGGTGACATAACAAACTGGCATTTTTTCTCAAATAAGGTTGGGAATTTTGCAGGATTACCTTGAACCAAAAGTGTGGGGGCAATTTTAACAATCGATTTTGTGATCAAATTATTACCTTTATCGTGGAATATTGTTTCTTAAAGTTTTATGTTGTTTGACCTTCCAAATAGGTGCAAGTAATGGAAGAAAAATTAAAAGCAGCTAATGTTCAAACGAGCGAATCAGAAAACAGGTTGTATAAGAGATGTCAAGATCTGGAGATCCTGATTCAAGATAAAAATGACATAATACAAAAATTGGAGCAACAACTTGAAGAACAGGTTAGAAATAACTGTTACAAAAGAGGAGCATCAGTTCCATTCTTAATTATACAAAAGAAAAATAAAAGAATGAAGATCAATAGAGGACAGAAAAGTTTAGAATTATTTCTGTCGTTTGATTGGAAGGTTTCTCATTAGGAGTGTGCTTTGAATAACATTTATTCACTTGCAAATTATGCTCTCACTTCGTTTGAAAGAAATCTAATTTTTAAGAGGGCCAAGACGTTCTTACTTATCTCTGTCTTCTCTGCTTTCCATTCCAGGCTCTGAAGGGCCTATTTGTGATTTGTAAAAAATCACCATGTGTCACCCAGGAGATTGAATTTCTTGAAGGAAACTTTAGGATTTGTTTCTGACGGTACTACTGTGGCAAACTAGAATGTTAAGTAAAGTGTGTGCTTATGTCAATTTTTTTTTTCCAGAAGCAAATACGACTTCAAGAGGCAAAACTCATAGAAGAAAAAGCAGCTAAAATAAAAGAATGGGTGACAGTCAAGCTCCATGAGGTATAACTCTTGGTACAATGCTTGTCATGCAGAAAATTGGACATAGTCAAAAAAACATTTCCCATTTTGATTGGTTGGTATGGTTACTTCACTAAAAGATTGAAAATGAAAACAACAGCATTGAGGACAAAAGTGTCCATATTGCTTAACTTCTGATGTCTTGTTTGCTTAACTCATATCTCTGTGTGCTCTTCATGGAGAGAACCCCCCGGAACTGCTCTCTGGCAGATATTCTTATCTCCACCAATTAAGAAAGATTAGCTGGCAAATTTTGCTTGCTCCAGCAGGTGCTTGAAGTGGGAATAATCCCCCAAAAGCTGAACAAGTCTACTGGGGTCTGGCAGAAAAAGGATGTACCATTTCTTGTTTTCCAATGCCCATTGTACTCTTAGTCATGGATAGTTTCAGGGGCACTGGCTCTATTCCTGTAAGAGACCAGCTGTCTCCCTTGTTTCTCTGCTGTGGTGAGATAACCATCTGTACCCTGTCTAAGGCTGCCAGTTTTGGTATGCAGCAGTGCTTTCTCCTCCTTCCATTTAGAAAATTTAAAATTGCTTGTAAATGTTACAGTCATACAGTCCTGTGGTTACACTGCACACTCCAGTTAAAAAAAAAAAAAGGAAACTAAAAATAACATTTATGATAAGTCTGCAAGGGAAGTTTTTAAAATCATTTAGTAAAAATGCAGTTAAGTTTAGCTAAAATCATCTCAAAATAGTTTGCATGAAATATGACTGAAACTATGTACTTAGTTTAGAATATGCAGGATCTGAAGCTAGGTGTCACTCAGTTGGAGGTGGAATTGATGGCTCCCTTATCTGTGATACTGGACACTCAGATTCACATCTCTTTTCATAATTCAGAGCTGGTATTTGAACCAGCTCTGTTGTCTCTTAATTCCTAGCAGTGGGCTATAGCAATGGCTTGGTGGGGTCTTTTTCTTCCTGTAGATCTGTTCTGTGTGAGCTTTTCAGTACCCATTTATTTAATACTTTCTGTGGGATGTCAGGATGTTTTAGTGCCATCATTGCCTTCAATTCCTCTGCCTTCCCTTGGGTTTGCCAAATGGTACAAGAGTTGGTTTGTAACTCTAGCCCTTTGCTTTTATTAAAGAGATTTCTCTTTTTCTTAATTATTTGGGCTTTTTAAAGGTGTCTTGGATTTGCTTGGTGGGGGAATGATTTTAACAGAGGAAGCAGTTGTGCAGATAATCATTGCAGGGAATTTTATTGTTGAAAAAATACAAATGCATAGACTGTCGTTAAGCAAAGTAAATTGGAGATTAGCATTTGTATAGCTTCACCTTAAGAAAACAAATTCAGAGAAAATGTTAAGTGATATAATGACTTTTAAAACTGTTTCACTGATGGATGAGGTTAAATTTATGTGTTTTTAGTTAGAGGTGGAAAATCAGAACCTTCGCTTGATCAACCAAAAGCAAACCAAAGAGATGAAAACAGTACAATCCAAACTGCAAGGTAAATGTACGAGTTTTTGAAACATTTCTCTATATACAGCATAATTCTTACTATACCCTATTAATTTGTGCATCCATATAATTGAAATATTCCATAAAATCAGAGATTTCAATGACTATTAATTACCTGACTTCAGAGTGACTGTACATAAAGTTGTTAACAAAGCAATAATTTAATTTTTATTAAAAAGACATTCAAACAAAGCACAACTCTTTTTTTTTTGCTGGCTGAACTGGTATCCTTGTGTTACATAAAAGGTTTTGCAAGTAGTAAGATTTGACAGGGTTTGTGTCAGCTGTTTGCTTTCATTTCTTCATTTTATCACTGTTATTCTAGCACTGTTAATGAACCAATGAATGTCAGTCTGCAGGGAATAAGAATTCTGATCAGAATTTTGTAGCTATTACATTTGACTACAGTCATCCAAAACCTACTAACGCATAATTGCTGAATTACTGTTCTTCAGAAGCTACGGGCAAGAAATCTGTTACTTCAACACAAAAACCTGGAGAATGTCAGCGACTAAGTAGTTTGACTTTTGGATGCTTTTCAAACAGAGCGAGAAGTCCTCAACCATCTCCTAAATTTGAAGAAATAAGCAAATCTTCATCAAAAGAGTCAGACTACACTGAAGGCAAAAACACACTAGGTACTGAGTCACACCTACTGTCATTTTATTCTAACACGGGTGGGAAACCAAAATTGAAGTGGCATGTAAGTGGATCCAAACCAGCTGTTTTCCAACTATGTAGCAGAACTTTCTCCTTCTTTAATGTCAGTCTCTACTACTAGGAAGAAATCCTTTTGGGCATTAGCATCTCAGTAATACCACTGATACTTTGCTTGGCAGTATACAATGGCTGGTGGGTGCTCTGGCTGCCCAGGAAAGAAACTGCTGTGGTTCAGGTTTGCTTCACAGTAGAATATGGACTTTGGGTGTTCCAGTCCCCCAGAGACTGCTGTTAGGTTTTTATGCCTGTGTACAGTCTGATTTAAGTCCGGTTTCTGTATGTTTTATCTATGCTACCACTGGTGTCCCAGTGATAGTTTTATGTCCTAATTCAAGAAGATACTATTTCAATCAAGGTCAGAAATAATAGAATAGAGTCTCAGGCATCTTTTTGCACTATTGTTTCCTATCCAAATAAGTAGAAAGCTCCCTCAACAGTTTGTACAATTGCCCCCACAAGCCCTGAAGTCCTGTAATGCTAGCAAATTGATGTGCTGTTAATGCTGTTACAAGCATAAGCAAGTCCATTGCAGCTTGCTGCTTTCCTTAAGCAATGAAAAGCCCAAGAAGGAGACTGTTGCTCCTGCTCTCATCTTTCATTTGAGTCCCACAGTGCTATTTATGGCCTCTGAATTTTCTTCACAGTTAGTCATGGTATCCCGCATTACAGGTTGAATTCTGTGGAAAAGCAGAAATTGATGCGGATCCCGTTATTATTTTGTATACTTACTTATCCAATCCACTTTAACTTCATACAGCTATTTAACTTTCCCAAGTGTCTGTGTGAAAAGTCCTAGTTCTAGCATATGTTTTAACTCAGGGGAAGCACGTAGGCCTCACTGACATGCTTCAAGCTATAGCTCTCTCTTGCAAAACCAGGTAAAAGTGAAAAGCATAAGCACAGTTATTTTTAACACGTCTTTCCCTAAGCATTTTTATGAGCCACTCTTGTGTGTCTTAAGCATGCTCCACTGAGAATATGGTAATAGCTTGCAGAATAAATTTCTGAAAATAAACACTGTAGATATCCTGAGAATATTTGATTTGTTAGTGTAAATCTTTTCTGTCAAGCTTTTACTCTGCTTTAATTTTCTCTAGATTAATAAAGCAGCTAAATGCTTATGCTCTCTTAAACCATTGCTTTGTCTTTTTTCTAGTTTTTATTTTCATACATATCTGGTTTACTTTAACATTTGGCTCCACTCTGCTCATCTGTACATTCATTGCCATATTTAGTTTGGCTAAAACTTGGAGTATTGCCTGTTGCATTTTTTTCTTAAATACTGATGAAAATGAAAACTTTAGTTGCATTCAAAATTTTGTAATTTTTCTTTTTTACAGATTATTACATACAATATTCAGAAAAAAAAATAAATGTGCTTACTTGGAATGATTACCTACTTACTATTTGCAGACATAATGACAAAATCCTTTAGCAGTCAAATTTGCTAAAGTAATTTTCTCCTGTTCATTGTATTTGTCTTCTAGAGAAGGATATCCTGGAAACTACCTTTGCTGGTCCTGCACATGAAAGCAATAAAGGTCAGAAGTCATTGCAGCAAAGTTCCTCAGGATCAGAGCAGAACAAAAATGTGAGAACAAGTTGTTCATCCAAGGATTTGGACAGTGACATGTCAAAGAACTCCTGCACTACAGGGAGTGACTGGAGCTCAGATGAGGATGGAGGAGACAATAAAGGAATGAAATCCAGGTGTGCATCCACTCTCTCAAGCCACACATCGGAAGAGAACACTAGGTACAGTAGAGTGGGAAGTGAAATGTATTTGACAGCCTCCGATGACAGTAGTTCTCTATTTGAAGAAGAGAGTTTGGGTGTTCAGAGGACTCAGCACAAAAAGTTGTACTCCTGGCAGCAAGGGTCCCAAAGAAAAGGCCAGAACAATCCAGGTGGAAAGTGCAACTCAGACTTCACAAGTAAGAAGAAAGACCAAGATAGTTCTTCAGATGAACTGAACAAGAAATTTCAGTCTCAGAGGCTAGATTATTCATCCTCATCCAGTGAGGCAAATACCCCAAGTCCAATTTTAACCCCTGCTCTAACTCCTAAACACCCAATCCTAGCAACTTCTGCAGGATCTCAATATCCAACACTATCAGATTCTCCCTCAAATTTGCCACCTCCAAAGTTACGGACTCCTAATGTGTTCAGTATAAATTCAGCATTGGCAAAAAAACATTTAAGCCAGCCCCAGCTGAGCTCTGATAGAATGTTTGGTAAAAATAGAAATGCTATAAGCATGATACGTCCGTGGAGACCTCAGGAAACAGACATTGATCTGGTGGATGGAGAAGATACAGGTATTTTAGAGAAAATGGAGATTGGCTGTGATGAAGGAGTGTTTACCTATGACTGCACTGAAGTACAAAATGCTGAAGCCCAGGAACCCTGTGATACGACAAAAAAAGCTGCTAGTAACAAACCTCCAACCCCACCATTACATCGATTTCCTTCCTGGGTAAGAGTAATTCTAGATACTTTTCCTCACAGTGAAACTAACTCATTCTCAGTCTTCTATTCTATGTTTTTTTGTTGCTTGTACCTTTCCCATTCTCTGTTTGATGACAAGACAGGGTGTTACTGTAATTGAAGTCAAAGGGACAAATCCAGAAGCAAGTTTGATATGAAGTACAGCATTTCAGCCAGTGAAAAACATTTTTTTGTAGATAAGACCTTTTTTTTTAATGTCACATCTAAGTTGCATATATCTTTTTGTGTATAACCAACAAGGTAATGCTTGTGAATGTGTGTATTTATTTATTTCAATACGAACAGAGACTTAAAAGTGCTGATGTCAATGCTGTTACTATAACCATTGTACCCCTCACAATCTAAACAACATGTTGACAGACAACAACTACAGATTACAGAAGTTACTGATCATTTTTTCCAGAAAAAAAAAAATTAAAGCCATCAGTCAGGGAATTAAAATAGATACTAATTTTCTAACACAAAATCCAAAACTAGCTCCATCTATACTCACTGATTCTGCAGTTCCACACTCCCATTTAGTGATTCAGAGGTGAGTAATGTGTTAAAGTAAAACGTTATTTCTGCTGATATATTTTAGTACATATTTTTCCATTGTAGATTTTCATATTCTGGCTTTTTAACACAAAACTATTGAAAAGTTGTCTCCATAATGTCATGTCTCTGTTCTTAACTATACAATCTTCCATTAAAAATATTCTCGCTATACCTTCTTTGGCCATTGATAATAGTATATTTAAAAAGAAGTTAAATGAATGCAAGGAAGTTTTTCGTTTTGAGAAAAAGAAGATTGAATCACACAGTGTGTATGGTGGGTATGGCATATAAAACATGGATGCATGTTTCAGCCACCACTGATGACACCATTTTATCAACCATATTATCACTTGGATGTATTAACACAAAGACTAGGAGGCTATGGGGAGGCTGAACAAAAGTAATTGTGTTTTAATTGTCTACCATCAAATCCATTTTTTTTATGTTAGGAAAGCAGAATTTATGCTGTAGCCAAATCTGGCTTAAGGATGTCTGAAGCTTTCACCGTGGAATCTCTTAACAAAAGTAAGTGGTTTAGTTGTTCATTGTCTCATGAACAAAAATTATCTTCTTCCAGTTATTGGTAAGAAAGGACCGAATATCCCATGTTCCTCTAAGATACTAAGATTCAATTACCTGCTATTTAAAACCTGGAAAATCATTGGTTATCTTTCTGTTGCCTTCTATTACTTTGCCTCTTTACTTTGTGCTGAATTTGTACTTTGTTCACACCAGATTTCTCTGCGGTTGATTTTGAAGATTCCATACCAAATACAAGGGTGAAAGATTGTACTTTCAGTTTTAAAAAGGGTTATTGGTCATGATTACAATTAATTTATTGTAAATTTCAAAAAGCTATAAATCTCACATCCAGAAGAATCAGGAGTTAGTTCAGTTTTCATAGCTGAGCTATACAGTGCAAAAAAAGACATCAGAATTTGGTAAATTGAGGGGGTGTAACTTAGGAAGGTCATTTATACAATGTGTTGCTTTTTTAGGTGCTGTTTCACTAACATCATACTCTGTATCTGGATTATACACATCTCTGATATATAAGAACATGACCACTCCTGTCTACACCACTTTGAAAGGGGTAACTGCATTACTGTTTAAAGGACATGTTTAAATACCATAAGGCTTCACATCCAAAAACTTGCTTTTTCACATTTGAGGATACCATGCCAAATGTGTCATAAGATCATGGTTAGAGGTTATAGAACCCCAGAAGTAATGGAAATGTCAAATAGCTGGGAAAAAAAACAAAACCACTGCTCCTTATAAATTGTTACCAGCCCAGGTCAGTCTTTCTCAGGTCCCTTGCTGATTTTTTCCAAAGACTTGTTAATTATTAAAAAGAGCCACATGGTGTTCAATGTCATAATTAAAAGCATGTGTGTGTATAGCAATGTCTTTGTGTCAGTGCCAAAACTGTTTTTATTTATCACAGCTTTTTTTTTTTTTTCTGGCAGCTTTTTGTGATTGGAAAGACCCATCCCTTAAGTTTGCCTCAGATTTCTGTTTCAAAGTGTGGGGGTGGTTGAGGATACAGAGGACAGGGAATTCAGTTTGATGTTGATATTTGTGTGCCAAAACTCACAGCCCAAGCAAAAACAGCTTTGAATATTACAAAGCCATCAGAGCTCTGCCACAGTATGAAAGAAAGAACTGATACTTTTTACGCAAGATACCAAAGAATGTTCTGTTAATTTCTGCAGAAAGCAACTCAAATAAGCAACAGCCCATTTATAGATGAGTCGTCAGGATCTGAGGAAGAAGACAGCTCTCGGTCTAGCTCAAGGACTTCTGAGTCCGATTCTCGAAGCAGAAGTGGCCCGAGTAGTCCTCGGGCTATGAAACGAGGTAGGCAAAAAACAGAAGAAGAATTAACTCCTGGGGAATTTGGAAAACTGAACAGTGTGCTTTATCTTCTTAGAAATTGATTTATTGGTTAAATTGCACGGACATCTCAAATCGAGGTTTAAGGCATTAGTCTAGCTGTTGTCATGAGGAAAAAGTGACTTTTACATTTAAAGGAAGAAACCCCAATCTACTTGTGCTCTGTCACACCAATTATTCCCTATAACCTTTAACTGCATGTACATAAAATGACCTAGAAGAAAGTAACTGCTAGCAGCAAAAAAAAAAAACATACTCTTTTTATAAGACAAAGTAATAGTTTAACATGATTAGAAAGCAGGTGTGAAAGTTCCCCCAGCAGAGTACTTGGTCATCTCATGCAGTGGTGGACTTCTTTCCTTTTTATAGCGACTGTTTTATGCAAAGATGTAGTTAAAACATTTGAATCCAGTAATGTTCTTTTGTCAGAGGTAAATCTCACAGCAGTACTTAACCGCGTGTTTTCCATTTGCGAAATGAAAATACCATGCTTCACTACATGGCAAGACACAATGTTATCATTAGGTGACAGTATCATTGTTACCTCCCTGAGAAGGTTTCTTCACTGGGTAAAGCAAGGTAGTTTACAATCTAACATCCTAGTACTTACATCCTCTGTTATATATTGCTTAGCAATGCAAAATAGCATTATTTGGTTGTTCATGTTATATATGTTAAAATCCCAGTGAGCTAAAGTTCCACTCACATCACCCTTGAGCAGGCAAAAACAGCTGCTGATTTGCTAGGAGTGTTTCAGTGCCAGCCAGACATGCCATCAAGGCTGTTTCATTTCCCAGGTCTGCCTGCTGCTCTGCGAGGAAGGAACAACTGTCTTTGACCTGCAAAGCTCTCTCAGCCAGCTTTCTTAGGGCCAAGACATGCAACCTTCCCTGCCTGGGTCTTGTCCTTCACTAGATTTCTCATGCAACTCTTGTTTTTTATGTAATGCCAACTGAAAAGATCAAAGTGCTTGTCTGTGTTGGTCCCGTTTCCAGTGCAGTAGTTACAGTTCTGCCACGCTAATGTGAAAAGGACCCATAGTTCCTGAGTATGCATCTCATCATGTTTGCACGATAGGAAAGGTAAATCAGCTAATTTCATAGCTGATTTCACCCACAGTTTACATCATGTCTATAAAATTGAGCCATTCCCTTTGTACTTCCTTCTTCAAAACTAGCCTTTGTACTTATTCATGCATGGAAAGTTTTCTTAACCACAAAACACATATATACATATGAGATCACATTGTTTAAAAATCCAGGCAGTCACAGATTTGACTAGGAGCATAATTGGCTTGTTGCATATGTGTTATTAAAGATCTTACATGAAAAGAGAACAACCGACGTGAAAGCCCAGGTGGCTTGCCAAAACAATAAATGAGAAAAGCATTTTTTAAAATCAAATCAGAAAATAAGTTTAGAAATCAATGAAACAAAGGAAACATGACATCTTCATTTCAGTCTTGGAGGGTAACCTTTCAGAGAAGAACATTGGTCAGAAAGTGAAACTTTACAAAAGGACATGTTTGAAAATCATTATTTCTATGATGATTATGGAGCAGTTTGATTTTTTATTGCTCATTCACTAGAATTTAAAACAGGGTGTATTTTTCTCTAGGAGTAAAGCTAATAAACTTTTTAAAAAATCCTGAAATCTGAAATTCAGACTTTTAGAAAATCTCAGTATTAGAATAAACTAATTGCAAAACAAAGACAGTAACCTACAACTTCAACATAAAGCAGATGTTGAGCCTGGCTTTTTAGTACCTAGGCACTTGCATTGGAAATCTAGATACTAGAGAAAATGATAGAAAGAGGAAGAAGAAAGTTACTTAGTTTAATTAAAGATCCCATATTTGTTTTGTACAGAATAAATGCAATATAGGGCACTGACTTCCTCCTCTAAAAAAGGTGTAGTAATATAACAGAAGGTCATAATATATAGAAGACAATTACTTCTTGTTTCATTCATAAGTAAACAATTAATTATGAAGAAATGGGATTATAGCTATTAGCATTGTACTAATAGTTAGTTATGCTGGTATTTTTATAAAAAATGCTCAGTTCCTAATGGATTTATGCAGATACTTGTGCTTGCCTGTATCTCCTGCTCAGATATTCTTTCTGCATGGATGTTCTGACCTCATTTGGTTGTAAAAAAATAAATAAAAATACAATGAAACATCTCTCTTTTAACTCAGGTGTGTCTCTGTCTTCCATGACCTCAGAAAGTGACTATGCTATTCCTCCTGATGCATATTCAGTAGATACAGACTGTTCAGAGCCAGAGCAGAAACTTCCTAAAACCTCTTCCTCATCTACTGATAATGGAAAAAATGTAAGTACTGAAGTTCTGTAAAGAAGTGTACCTGTGGTGCTGTGTGTATATTTCTGTTCAAAGAATACAACCAAATTCCTGTATTCATTCTTGTCAACTCACAGACTGCCTTATGAGTACAAATAGCAAAATATATCAGCAATAAAGTAACCATATAAGACTGCAATAACTGAAACAAGGTGGAGGATAATTCTGAGCTTTCTGGAAGTAAATGGAAGTTCATGGAAGTAGGTAGACAACTCCCGAAGATGATTCAAAGCACTTAAGTTTTTCTTGGAACCAGATCTGGTATCAGATTGCATACAAATACTAAAATCAGCTTAAAATTATTAACTGAATATTCAAAAAAAAATAGGAAGGCTTTCCACTGAAGGAGCTGGAGTCATCAGTAGAAATACGTGCTCAGTAATCAGTTTCTGTAGCTTCCTCATATGGGGAAAATGACTTCAGGCAAACTAGAGAAATCCTAAGCAAAACAGCATAGTAGGATCAGTCAAAGAAACCAAACCATTACAGGGTATTGGTCTGTCTCTGTGAGCTTTGTAATGGTCTGTGTTAGTAGTTAGTGTCTTTGCATAAAAGTGGATTGAATGACTGATGACAAAAATAATTTCTTTTAAGCTTTCTTCACAGAGCAAAACTGTGAACTCTGTTCTACTGGCGTACACACTGAACGTATGTCTTTGCAGTGCTCTAAATTACACTGTTATATTGGTTCTGTAGGTCAGGCCCTAAAGTTTGGGAAAAATGATGTATATAGGTTATATTAATTTTGTTATTTGTTTAATATAAATAATTAGAGTAAAATCAGGAATCATTATGTTCTTCGTTCCTTTGTATAGTTCTGGGCAAATCACTTACTCTCCTTCATGTACTATAACAGTAAGTAGGGATATTAATTAGTTATCACACATGCATGGCATTTGTCTTAATGCTTGCAAAAGTGCTGTCCTTGGAACAAAAATCTCATAAAATTTTGTAATTGTTATTTAGCATGCTTAAAAGTCGTTCAAATATCTGTGTGTGTGGTGTAATTATATCTGTGGGGCATACAGGTATATTGGTGTACTTAACTACTTCTTATGTAACTTCTAAATAATCAGGAACCTTTGGAAAAATCTGGATATCTGTTAAAAATGGGTGGTAAAGTGAAGACCTGGAAACGACGATGGTTTGTGCTTAAAGGAGGTGAATTACTATACTACAAATCTCCAGTAAGTACATAGAGCTATTTACTGTTTAGTATTAGACGTTTTTTTACTGAGAATTTAGGGCTGCCGGAATGAAAAGAAATGTATTCCTGGTGTTTGAGCTGTAAGAGGACTCAGTTCCTCAACAAGCATATAAGGTACTCAATGTGTAAATAGGAAGTATTTAACAAGATTAATGCTTAAATGAGTTCTATGATTATTTATCACCGTTTGTTGATGGATTTAAAATATTCTGTTCCATTTTTTCCATACAGAGTGATGTAATTCGAAAACCTCAAGGTCAAATTGAGTTAAATGCATCTAGCCACATTGAAAGGGGTGATGGAAAACAAACAATTCAGGTGCCTGCTTTTCTCTCTCTGTTTTTCAGTGGGTCTTTATTTCCTGCATCGCCAAAACATCCCAGTCAGTGTAGGACTGGAAGTCCAATGTGGTCTTGGAATTAATCAGTGCCCTTTGCTTAAAACCGAAGGGTCATTTCAACAATAAAAATGAGGGGTAGAAAGGCATAAACATATACTTATCTGTGTTGCTACAAAGAGTGGTATTGGGACTAGACATTAGGGTTGCGTGAAGTTGTTTGAAATGAGATAAATTAGGTTTTATCAATTCTGCTATACTAGAATCTTTCAGAAGGAGTCTCAGAAACTGTTTCTGTCTGGTCTGCTTGGCCATTGAACATTTTGTTAATGCACAGTTATTTGGGAGAAATAAACCCCCCAAAGTGTGAAACTACATTGGGTAGTATATGTTAAAACCCTCTAGTTGTGGGTTGGATTGTGTAATGTTCTTAAAGCTCAGAACTCTTCTGCCACTTCGTAGCTGACCACAGAAAAACGGACATACTACCTGACTGCAGATTCTCCAAACATCTTAGAAGAATGGATCAAAGTACTACAGAATGTTCTTAAAATACAGGCTGCTAGTCCACTTTTTATACAGCCTGAAATCAAGCCAACCATGAAAGGGTTACTTACAAAGGTAGGAACACTTTTCTTCCCCCAAATGTGCCTAATTCCATATTTATTAAGAATAATACCTAGATGAAAATGGTTCTACAATAAATGCAAGCAAAACAGGCATGTATTAGCTTTCCTTGTACTTTTCATAGTGAACAGTTGAGGAAGACTACCAACTAGTTTACTTTTCCAAAAGCATTTCTTCTGGTTGTTTGAGATTTGCTTTGTTTTTTCTTTCCAGCTTTTCAATTCATTAAAAGTTGTTGAGTTCTCCGTTTGCAGTTGAGAGGTATCCTGGTTTTGCATGGCACTTTGAGACATGCATAAGTTGCAGTAGCTAATTGATCTAATTTATTTCCATTTAGTGATCCCTTTTAAGTGTTATTCATTGAGGCAGGTTATTTCAAGATAATAAGAATACTGTATAAAAGGATTTTTTCTCTTTCAGTTCTCTTCATTTCCTCAGCTTTCATTACCTTAGGCTTGATCCAAAGCCAAGTGAAACCTCGTACTCTTTCCTGGGCTCTAGGTCTTTATCTGGACTTTAGATGCCTTAAATCTTATACCTTTAACAGAGTTATGTGGTTTTAATTTAATTTAATTTAATTTAATTTAATTTATTACTTGTTTAATAATGTGGAAAGAAATTTGAACTAAGTCATTTATTCACAGAATCATCAAAGTCTAGACGGTGAAAGGTAGTCAGTCGTTTTCTGACTGTGCTTGTTCCTAATATTCTGTAATTTCAGGTGAAACATGGATACTCCAAAAGAGTATGGTGTACCCTCGTTGGAAAAATTCTGTATTACTTCCGTAACCAAGAAGATAAGGTAGGTCCCTTACTTGTTTCCTCAGTGAGGGAAGAATACATACTGGAGTGAGTAGACTTTGAAAACTAAGTTTTGACTTTATTAAGATACAGGTTGGCCTGGGTAGTATAAACCCATTTTATCTTGATAACCAGATATTTAGACTTAACAGATTCTCAACTTGGAAGGTTCCTATGTAATAGACAGCACTATGGGCACACCCATAAGTCTACTTCTCCTGTGAGACATGATGAATATCCTGCATCTTCTTACCCTTAGCCAAAGTGAGTGTCGGCATTAATTTGCCGATGGTTCAGGACTCCCTGTCAGGCTTGAGACTGATTGGAAAAGATCTGGTTGCCATTTACTTCCAGAAGTTGACCCTTTTTTTTATGTTTGCAGTGGGCAGTGACTGCAAGATTCAAGAAATTACTTTTTTTATCCCTTGATTGTCTTCCGAACCTTGTTCTTTGGTATGTCACTGTGCCTCCACACTGCTACAAGAAAGGCAGAGACTAGCAGGGTGCAGAGAGTTTGCTGCTCTGCAGATGCATGTCACATGGGGGGATCCTTTCCAGTTCCCCATCAGAAAAGGAAGAGGAGCTCGTGGTCTACAACTGATGAGATGGTTAGAAACAGAGATGAAAGAAGGCAGGAGAAAGTGAAGAGAAAATGATTTCTGAAACTTACGGAAAATACTTTTTAAGGAAGAAAAGAAAGAAATGGAGTCCAGTCAGTTTTGGTTACCCTCACAACACTACCTACCTCTTTCCTGTTGAGCCTGGTATTCAGTTCGCTACCTGCATTTCTGAATGTTGTCAGACACAAATATTTCCAGTCATAATTACCTGCTGAGTCTGGACAAAAGACACTTACTAGTAACAGTTTTGACTCATCCTTTTGCTCTCAGGACATTGTGTTTTGTCATCAAGAAACACATTTTCATGCAGTTGGGTCAGGAACAAGATTCTGAGAAAGCCTTCAAAAATTGTTTTTAATATCCCTGAGGTTATGAATATTTGATTCATGCCCTTATTACCTAACTGTCAGGACTGCTGGCACTGACAAAAATGTTAACACTCTGCTGAGCCATTAAAACCCAGAACAGGTAAAAAAAATACATAAAATCCCCTTTGTTACTTCCGATCTATCCAAATATTCATACTGGACCCATTACTCTGTAGTCTCTCTATAAAGCTAGTTATATCCTTTGTTCTCCTTTTGTTTTTTATCCATTTTTAAACATTCATCTGAAGCTTATTACTGTATCAATAAGACGGCATTAAACATCAATAAGAATATTTTATTTTAATTACTTTTTAAAAGTGCAGTACAGAGCTAGGGAATCAAATGACTAGAGTATTGACCTCTAGCTCATTTTACACTTACTTTATTTAAGTTACATTTTTCTCCAATGAAGAAATCTCTATGTTTAATGTACCTGAATTTACACATATTTACCTTTGAAGATTTGTTTGTTTTTTTTTTTTTAAAAAAGCCCTTCAGGAACATCCAAGAAGTTTGCTGGTTCCTTATGAGTATATCCCTAACATTTGGAACAAGTTTTGCTATCTCTCCTAAGGCAAAATTGAAACTAATTTACTAGCTTGCAACAGAATAAGCATTTAGCTTTTGTAAGCAGAATGTGTTTTTAAAATACTATGTATGAAAAGTTTCCCAGAGCTAGTTCATTTCTAATGTTAAACAATTGGCTAATTAAAAACATACTTGTAGCTGAATGTGACTGTGCAGGAAAAAATTACACCATCTGCAGTAGTTAATACAGTAATGGAGTCCTTTTAAGTGGCATTTCAAAATGGAATGCAAATAAAAAAAAATCAGCCAATTGTGTTTTAGTTCAACTTAGTGAACAAATTGGTTGTGACTATTTTTATATGCCATGGCACCTCACGATTCTCAGAATCTACTTTGTTCAAATAGTTGAATGCTTCAGAAGTGCCACAGAAAACACAGATCACACCATGCATCTTTAATCCTTACTAGGGAGTACACTGAAACATAGAGCCACCATTGTGTGATGTTTTCTTCAAATGATTATATCAACTGCTCACTTTATAAAATCACGATTCAAGAAACCCACTTGAGATTGAGTCAGGCTTGGCAGCTACTCTCCACTATCAGGTTTTCATTTTTTAAACAGTTTTACTGAGAAGCTAAGAGTCAACCTCATCTGCTTTTCACTGTTGTTAATATGTTAAGACCAGTTACTTCAGGCTTGTACGAGAATATGGCACAGATAAGATGAGACGCTAGTTGCTCTGGAGCCCAACCATCATTCTGCCAAAGGGAAACATCTCTCTCTTTCTGCTGAATCTCTGTAAACATTAGTAGACATCACAAACAATACAAAAACAATAGTAAAGGCTTCTTCTCTGCAACATTAAATACCAGACTCATTTGAACATCATGATGTATGAATGGCCAGAGGAAGAGCAGTAGTGCTATGGAAAGGGAGGAACATTTACGTAAAATAGCCAGAAAGTACTGTCAGCCTCTGTCAGTCCTTTCACCCAGTTATGAAGATGGATGTTTGCTGTGGTTTCCTGTTGATAATGAGTATGAAATACTTCTAGGAAAATTTCCTTTTGAATGGCATTTCATACAAAATATTGCATGATAAGTGATCATAACTATACATACAGCTTAAGTCTCAAATATTTCGAACTATTGGACTGCAGAATGAAGCAAACTAAGAAGGTCTGCTACACAAAACATTTACCTTTTGAATTCATAGCATGAACAAAATAGGTATTTCAACACCGCTGGCCTCTGAAATGACAAGACTATTATTAAGGCTCTAGACTTGACCCAAGGAATTTTTACTTGGAAGCAGGTCTGGAAACTCTGAAAACGTACTTCTCTCACCCTAACAGACATTTATTACATTAATTAGATACAGAAGCAGACCTGGAAAAGAATTTTAAAAATTCTCACTTTCAGACTTTGGCACGTATCATTCACATATCATTCATTTGTCTGCAACAGCTCATTTATCTGGCATTACATGGCAGGAGTGAAAATGAATAAATGAGTATTGATGCCAGCTTTATGTTTTAGTTTTGTTTTGATTTTGTTTGTTTGTTTCTGTTTGTAGAATAAGAAATATAACATTAGTATGCACTGAAATAAACATGTGCTGTCTGACCACTTCTAATATTTACTTTCAGTTTCCTCTTGGTCAAATCAAGCTTTTTGAGGCCAAAGTTGAAGAAGTTGATAGGTCCTGTGACTCTGATGAAGATTATGAAGCTAGTGGTCGCAGTTTATTATCAACACATTACACTGTTGTTATCCACCCCAAAGATCAAGGACCAACTTACCTTCTTATAGGATCCAAGCATGAGAAGGTAATGAAAGGACTTTTTAATTGAGTTTCAGTGACATGTCTATGACTGTGGTGCTGTGATATCAACATTTTCTAAAGATGAGGGGAAAGGGGATCTGCAAGCCATACGGCTTGTAGTTTGATGTAATAAACAAAGAGAAATAACCTGTTTCATGAACATCAATCAGTCTGTGAGCCAGTGCTATCATTGATAATCCCTTTTGAAATAGCCAAAAATATTTAGGCTTAAATACTACATAAAGTGGTGGTGTAGAATACTAAATATGCTGTAAATTGAGAATTTTGCTCACACTGCAATAACTCGTAGATAGACCTCTAGCAGATCTTCCAGAGAGTTCTGGTATATTGTTACCTGTTTTCATTGTTAGAAGTAACAGTAGGGAAGTGAGAGAGATGGTTAAAAACGTTATTATTGTTTATTTGCTATTGCTATTATTGCTTACATTATTATGTACTGACTAATCCTGTAGACCTCATTTTGCTTTTTGGCCTAACTCCTCAGTTTAGCAGGATCTGGCAGTGATGAAAAAGCACTTACATTAGCTTTCTGAAGAAGAAAAGAAGAACTCGCTGATAATTAGGCATGATTTCTGAGGGTAAAAGGCTTCAGAAGAGAGCCTTGTCCAATTTTCCTTACTTAATGCTTGCAACATGGAGTGGCCATGAGTACGGATGTGAAAGTGAAACAAAGGCCAACTCCTTTGTGCTTCACCAGGAGCGTATGGCAATTGGTTTAAAGTTGAAAGCAAAATCTTTGTGAAAAAGCTACTTCCAACACAGCTGAATCCTTCAAAACCAATTCAACTTCTGACTTAATTCCTTTAAAACTTGATGTTCAGTATATTTTAATGCTCTTAAAAGTCTGGTGGAATGAATGAGTGAGTTGCTGTGTATTTTTCTACTTTAGGACACATGGCTTTATCATCTGACGGTTGCTGCTGGAAGTACCAACGTAAATGTTGGGTCTGAGTTTGAACAACTTATTTGCAAATTGCTAAATATGGAAGGTGATACCAGTAAGTTACTTTTTGTTTCAACACACTAATATTGTCATACTGTCATACATATCAGTTATATTGAGAAAATAATTATCCTAAGATTGTAAAAAAAAAAAAAAAATTTAAAAAAAAAGTAATAAAAAATAGACAAATTGAAGTTTTAGGCATAATTCTGAGAGTTTTTAGTAAATGCTTACATGCATTACAAGATTTTTTTGGTCTATACAAGGCAGGTCAGTTAACCTTTTTGTTAAGGTTACATTTATGCTAACTTTCCAGCAGAGCTATCTGCTCTGTGAAACAGTATTACAGACACTAACGTGCCCTGTAAAACACTCTGAACAAGCCTGACAGGGCTTTGAATCTCTTATCTAAAATACCATTAATAAAATCATTAACAAAATTATTCCTATTCAATAAAAAATGCAACTACTAAGGTCCTGTTTCTATAGCATATTGAAATCAGTAGGAATGGAATTTGTACTTTAGGTCAAAATCTAGAACAGTATTTGTAGAACAGATGATAATTATTTAGAAGCTAACAGATACCCAACTCCCACTTGATGTAGGGGGCTTTAAACGCAACTACGTATAGAACTGCATTTTGAAATTCCGATCTCTTATGCTACATGAAAGAAGCGTTTCCTAAAAGAAGACCATAGACCTCGTGTTTCAAAGCTTTCTGTAAAATATATATATATATATATTTAGTGGTTTTATTTAGTGAAGTTTCAGAATTCATGTTTCTGGTATAATCCATTTAGCTAGAGCAACTGTTCCAGTTCTGAATGCCAAAGTCTATTCAGAGGGAAATACCCCTCAATCTGCCTCTAGAAGCAAGATTCCAGCACCTTTTTAATTCATCTCTGGGGACAGTTCACCTTGATGTCACACTAATTCCCAAAACAGTGGCTATCCATCACATCCTGTGCTGCTATGAATAGATGAAGTAGTAGCTGTAAAAGAAGAACACCACATACTGTTTTCTTGTGCTTGCTGGATCTGCAAGAAGCTCTTTTTCAAATTCAAAATATTCAAGCAGAAGTTACAGACAAACTCACTGACATTCTGTGCCAGCAAATTTAGGATTCATCTTGCAAACTCCTACTCATATAATTATTCTCACATAAAACCTCATAAAGAATCTGGTCCTGAGAAGTTTTATGATTTTGCATAGTCTCACAGTTTGTAGCAAAAGCCTGCAATCCTACAGACTCATTATCATGATTTGAGATACGGCTACGAGAACTTAGAAGCCAGGTCCCACTACCAGCATGAGGTGGAGCTGTGAATTTCAGCAGAAAGAAACTGATGTAGTATCTTAAAAGCTTCATCTTGCTGAGGCTCTTTCTTGGCCCCGCTGCATAGATAAGCACAAAGAAGTTAGAGATTGTGGGGAGAGGAAGGATTACTGTAATTCAACAATTTATCTTCTTGATATTGATATACTCAGTCCAGCTAGTCTAAGGCATATGTGCAGTATGGAGGGATGCAGCAGTTCGGAATGAGGGAACTTTCCTTAAAAACAAAAACAAAAGAGTACACCCAGAAACATTATAATTTTTGCTCTGGTTTCTTAAGACAACAAAGTTCATTTGATTGCATTTTTCACGTCTGTCTCTGGCACCCACAGTAATTTTTGAACATTGGGCCACTAGTACAACTAATTGAAATCAATCAAAGATAGTTACATTCTTACAGGTGTTGTGAAAAGAGGTACCCAGGTAGACAAGTGATTCAATGAATGCCATAATTGAGGAAAATAATGTACTAGATCCCAAAGAATCCAGAAGATACTTACAAAATACATAATAGAGTATCCTTCTCTTGGATTATAAATAATGATGAATCAAACAAACTGAATTTATTCTAAATTTATGTACTTTAAATGTGCTCTTACAGACTCAATCTAGTAATTCTGTTGAAATGGCCTGCCTGTCTCATTTCAAGCACCTATGTCAGAACATCATGAAATAGTTCAGTCTACAGATGTGAAAAACATAGCAAGGAAGAATCCATAGTCTCAAAAACTGATAAGTATTTTAGTAGATTCAGCTCTTAACACATAGAGGAGTTTAGAATATTAAGTATCAGAATCTAGAAGAACAAAAAAGTAATCTGCAAAAAGATACTGTACTGACAAGAAAACAAAGATCATTTGTGAAAAGAGTAAACACTTGATAGAATATATAGTTAGATTGGTATTTGCTTTCTTTCTTAGTCTACTTAATAAGGTTTTAGGAGACATTCAGCTATTACAGATTCAGGACATATCTTCATGTTGAGTCACTATTTAATGAGGTGTTAAGGGGTTCTTGTGTTGAAGACAATGCCTTTTAAATTATAAATCTGATGCTTGCAGTCTTAAGATAAGAAAGCATTTTTTTAAAAAAAGCAAATAGAATTTAAGTTGATTGTTTGACATTTTATTTCTCATTAAATGATGAGTAAAAAATTGAACTTGCTGTACTGAATTAATTGCAGAAAGCACATATTTTATCTGTTCAGCTTCTCAGGTTTGGAGACATCCCACCCTTTGCCACAGCAAAGAAGGAATTGCTTCTCCTCTTACAACATTGCCATCAGAAGCTTTGCAAACTGAAGCAATTAAATTATTTAAGGTAAAACCACAGTAAATGCCTTTTTATCAACTGTCTAGCTTCAGCTTCTTTCTTGAAAATTTTTCTGTGCTGGTAAGACCTTGTATCTTTTGCACTGAAGGGCCAGAAAGGTGGCTGATGCCTATGAGACAGAAAGTGCTGGAATTCCATTAACCTTCTTTCTCCTCTCTCCTACCCTCACCCAGGTGAACTACTCTTGAGTGTTAACTAATCGCCAGGATATAAATAAAGTCTGTTACAGAGACAAAACAGGTTCTTGCTGTTCTGTACACAGTGAAAGAAATTACAATTTGGTAAGCATGGTGTTTGGATAAATGAGCATTCTCCACAGAGATTGCATAAGTCCAAAGACCAAATTCCATACATCATTAACAGTCTCGAAAATTTGGATGTAAGGGTTAGGATCTGGAAAGGAATTCAAGTCAAGTACCGTATGTTCAGTTACAGCCACACTTTAAAGAAGTAGATCCACCTTATTTTCAGCAGTACTGCAGCATGGAAATGTAAGAGAGAATTAATTGATATCGATTTGGCAATCACTTTCTGAAATACATATCAGACCACAGACACTTAGCTAAAATAAATAAGAGATTACTTGTATGACTTCTATGTCATATTTTATAATGTTGTATAAATCAGTTTAAAAGTGAGTTAGGAAACTCATTTAGAAACAAAAAGTTCAGTTTCAGATATTGCATTGGTGATAAAGATTAGTTCTATGCATCCACACATAGGATCACAAAATGGCTTGTGATGAAATGGACCTTAAAGATCACCTAGTTTCAACCCCCCTGCCATGGGCAGGGATGCCACCCATGTGCCCCATCCAGCCTGGCCTTGAACACTTACACATTTTCAGATAAACAAGAAAGATTAGGCTTCCATTCCTATCTTCTATTTTGCCTGTATTCATCTTTAAGGAAGTGTTTTTATACATTAATTTAGTTATTGTGACCAAGAGAGCTATCATGTAGACTAAAGAGAGTGAGTGATGAGGAAGCTTTTTGCTAATACAGCATAACAAATGACTGACAGCTGGCTTCCCTAAGACAGCAGCAGTAGTAGGAAAGTTTATATGTAGTCAGTTGTACATCAGTGAAAGTCAAGAAGTAAAACAAGTGGCTCTGAGCCCTTGTTTTCTAACCTGTGCATGTCCCACTGCATTGTGCTCACTCCTAGCATAAGTGTTTTGCACTGGTTGCCATTGTGAGTTGTCCACCTTGCATTTTAAAGACCTGCACAGAGGTAAGCTGTGCACATTCAACATGTCCATAAACTTTCCTAATGTCACAACTGTTGCAATTCCTGCAAGTGTTCCCTCCATTAGACACAGAGTTGAAAAGCTTTTTTTTGAGAGGTATATTTGTCTTAAGTCTCTCTATAGCTTTTCATCCATTCCAGTTCCTTTTCACCTCCCTTTCACAGGTAAACAGACCAATTGTGACTTAAATTGAAGCACATTTTTGATATGCAGAACATCTAAAAGATTTGTTGGAGCTTTTTGTATGTAAACTTGCATATTATTTTATTTCTAGACCTGCCAGTTGTTTATAAATGCTGCAGTTGACTCTCCTGCCATTGACTACCATGTATCTTTGGCCCAGAGTGCTTTGCAGATCTGCCTCACGCATCCTGAACTTCAAAATGAGATCTGTTGTCAGCTCATTAAACAGACTAGACGTCGACATCCACAAAACCAGACAGGACCAATACAGGTAAACCGGTATTTGTTTTAATGATACTTATTTCAACAGCCATGAAGTAACTACACAGACTGTTTAGAATGGCAAAGAGTCTCTGTGCATCCATAGCTTCTGCTTAATTAAAAGCAGATAAAATTCTGAAATAACATCTTATTACTGCTGGGTCTTCCTGAAACAAAGATGATGTTATCCTCCATCAAAGTACTCACATCAGATGACAAGGTGTATCTGTGCCTGTGCTCTTTTTAAAGGCTTGACATACAGTGGCATATCGTCAAGTAAAGGGCACGATACATGAAGCCTAATTCTCCTTTACTGCATCTTACCTAAGATGGGTGCTGCACCTTGGTGGGCAAAACCATATGACAGATGTCTCTGTAGCATAAGCGTGAAGAAAACCTGTAGCATCATGCTGTGGAATTTCACATATGCTTGGCTTTTCTGATAGATGTCACCTTTTACTTTCTTGTGCTATTCTGCATGCATCCTGCATGCTAGATTATGAATATATACTTAAAATTCTTCACCTTTGTCCACTGCCAGCATTTTAGTGGTATCTAAATATGTAACAAATCAATGAATTGAAATTAAAAGGAAAGGCAATACTTACAATCCATTGGAATAACAGCGCATGTGTTATAGTCATACCTACAGAACTAGGAGATCAAACAGAAAATAAGAAAGGAAATTACCACTTTAAGGCTTTTGTAATGGACACAGTTTTCTCAGGATTTCCTGTAGAAAGTAGAACACAACCAGCAGGCCTGCCTGTTACCTAGAAATGGCCCTTATTTGGAGAATGGACAGCATGTAGGCACTGCTAAAATGTCTACTAAGCTTTTATAAAAGACGTAGCATATCCAGGTCAATTAGCAAACACTGAAGTTACATACATCTTATGGAATTTAAACTAATCATAATCCATGTTTGGTACTTGCAACCACTACTGAGGCCTTCCCTCCAATACAGATAAATAAACTGTAGCCACTATAATCCACTGACATGATATTTAAGGGTTAACCCGTTCTGTAAAACATTTGTAGCCTCACACTTTTTTTTAAGTCTTAAATTATTAACTCAGTCATGCTGTAGTTTCCCACACTTACTTCTGATACAGTTTCTTCCTGAAACAGAGCTGATGCTATCCTCCATCAAAGTACTGCTCTTTGATGAAAAGGCTGTGCTGTCAAATTTTGATTTACTACCAGGCAAGCCAGATAAACCAAGATAGAGAAACCCTGTTTTCTGAATTTCAGTATGAAGCATTGCTACAGTTGTGAGAAAAGAAAGAAAAATAAGCCTGAATCGAGAGTACATGAGAGCAGTGTGCATTAAGTGAAGGCTACGGATACATATTGAACAATGAAAATACACCAAGATAATGAATAATTGTATTTTCAGTAGTTCCTGACTACTTTGTAGGAGGAAAATGTCTTATGGGTTACTTCATTATGTATATGAACAGGGGAGCTGAATTAAAATTGCACAGGCTGCTCCTTACATCCTAGTGCTTGGGTTGCAGCTGTAGTATATTTTTCCTGTATTTTGACTGCTTTTTGTGCAGACTGATCTACTTCCACATTTCTGGCCCTAAAAGAAACATGCTGTACACAAGTAAATAGAGAGCATTTTGGCCTTCCAGAGGTGACATGTTCATTTACTCAGCTTTTTCTCTGTGTTTTGTTTTTTCTTCCTGTTTACAATCATCTGTTACTCAACTTGGCTCAGTAAGCTTCACTGCTGGCCAGCAGCCACAGCAGGAAGTTTTACTTTGTAAGATGTTTGAAACAGTGAATGTCTTCCTTTTGTCCAGGGCTTGCAGCTCTTGGCTCTCTGCGTTGGACTCTTTCTGCCCCAGCACCCATTCCTTTGGCTTCTTAAACTTCATTTAAAGAAGAATGCAGATTCCAGGTGTGCCTGAATATTGTTAGCCATCTAGTTGACTAGTGTTTCTTAAAGTACCTTATTTCCAATCTTTCATTTAATATTTCTTTTTTTTTGGACATACATTTTAAAATGCATTTGAATAGCATTGTGTTTCAGTGCCATGAAAAGGTCATACATGCTGCTTCTGTGCATCGCTTGGCAAAGTTATCCTTTGTTTTGATAAATAGTCTGCAATGGAATTCTGACTGTATATTGCAGAAGCATGAAGACCAAAGTGTAGCAGTTGCACAAAACACTCTGAGCCATGCTCATCTTTGGCACAATTCTGTTTGTCTCAGTGGACTTACACTCCTTATAATGCCTCATATAAAAATGTTGGAAATCTGGCTGTGAAATCTGAATGCTCTTCGCATTTGGTATCTCCAGAGAGTTTTACTCACAGTTTACTATCCTTTCAATCAGTCCCAAGAATTGCCTTATTTCTTTTTTTGTCACAGAACTGAATTTGGGAAATATGCAATATATTGTCAGCGATGCGTAGAGCGTACGCAGCAGAATGGAGACCGAGAAGCCAGACCTTCCAGAATGGAAATTCTTTCAACTCTTCTAAGAAACCCCTACCACCATTCACTGCCCTTTAGTATTCCAGTTCATTTCATGAATGGCATTTATCAGGTAATGTTAAATAGACCGTGAAATCTAAGCGCTCCCTAACCTATGCTTTCAGTGTATATGTGAAGTATATCAGAAACAGAATTTTAAGTGTTAAGGTAAATATTGTTCAACTTTCATCCTGTGCCAGTGCTAGCAATGGTGGGCACAACGTATTTGAGTTTGATTTAATCAATGAAGAGTAAATGTTTGGGAAAAAACACTTATGAGTGAGAAATATGAATGAAGTTTCTTATTTAACCTGGCCACCAGATGAATGAATTAGACTGAAGGAAAAAGAAAGGTATTAAATTCCATTTCCTTTCTTAAGATAACTTTAAAGTTAAGTATCTCACTGAAGGCATTGAAACACAGCTATAACTTCCATTATCAGCCACGAAGGATAACCGTATTTGTTACAGAACAAACACAGCTTCATTCTTAACCTTTCAGACCTCATCGGTCAAAGCCTGTAGAAAGCTTTCCATGGGCTTCTGTGCATAGGGGTGCAAATCCTGGTTTCTGTTACTAGTGGTGAGAGCTTGCAAAAAGAGTTTTTTAACAATTCACAATATTACAAGATTTTTTATATGAAGTCAAAACTATATTGAATAATCTTTTTATTTCAGATAACAGAAGTCTTTTTTTTTCCCCTCTACGTTTCTTAATTGCTTACTGCATGCCAAGTAAAAGAGAAAAATCAGCATGTATTTAAGTCACCCTAAAGAGTTTCAAACATAAAGTTTGAAGAAGAAAAGGAATCACTGCTCATTTATTTATATATTGCTCAAAATTCATCTTCTAAGGGCTATGAAATTTGTAATTAAATAAGTAAATTACTTCTGTGGGATCAGTAAATAACCAATTTGTAAATTCCAGTGATGGTAAGTTATCCACAGAGGATGGAATGGATCTTAAGTTGCCATTGTTGTTCTAGAGTTCTAGAGGTACTATCCTTCAAAATTTTAGCTTTAATTCATTTTTTTTTCCAAGTGCTTAATAGCAAAAAATATTTTGGGTGATTTTTTAGGTTGTTGGATTTGATGCTTCTACCACAGTGGAAGAATTTCTGAACACCCTGAACCAGGATACAGGAATGAGGAAACCAGCTCAGTCAGGATTTGCACTGTTTTCTGATGATCCCTCTGGCAAGGATATAGAGCACTGTCTTCAAGGGAACATCAAGGTAAATAAAAGTCTTTAATGAGCTGTGCATATAAAAGAGCAAAATATCTTCATTTTACAGAGCTCTCTTCAGACAATGTAAAGGAAAATATTTTCAGTCTGAAAACTGTCTTTTTTCCCTCATAATGTGAAAGATGAAAAAAATCACTTTTTCAATTACTGAAATTCATTCAGTGAACTATATTTAAAAGCATTGTCTGGGAGACTGATATTAATCATGGAAGTAACAGCTGGACTTAAAAAAAAAAAAAAAAAAAAAAAGAAAGAAAGCTGTTACTAATCACAGTCCTGTAAAACCAAAAAGAAATTGGAAATTCAATGGTCACTTAGAGATTTCAGTTAGTATTTCTGGTATAGCCCCAAAAGATGACCATTTGAGGTCCAAAAAGTCACTGATACTGGCATGGGGATCTTTGGGAATGAAAATAAAGAAAGAATTCCTTATCTAAATACAGAATAATTAGGGCTCAGGAAATTCCCAGTTTTGGGCATATCATTGTTCTGGATCTTAAGTCCATCTATTACTAATAATAAATTATTTGTGGCCGAGATTGGCAAAATGCACTATAATCTATGTTTTAGTTGAATATTCTTCAAGCCTTTTACCAAATAATGAATCTTTTTTTTTTTTTGTGCTTCTATCAAGTAGTCTTTTGCACTCAGCCAATGCTCACAGCTGCACTTTGAGTTACAAAGGAAGGTACGGTCAGCTCTTCATGACAAACAAGCAGAGTCATCTGATTAGCTCTGCTTCCCCACCAGAATAATTACCATATGGAAAGCAAAACATGTTTTCAAAAATACTTATTTCCTTGGTAAATGCAGCCTTAGAAGCATTACTTCTTTCAGAAAGGTTCTTCTGTGAAAGAATGGTGCCCTGAAGTCCAGCAGGACTCACTGGACCTCAGTTCCGCCTCCTCCCAGGCTGCCCACACACACCACTTGTCAGAAACCACCCTCAGTGCACTTTGTTAACAAACTTCATACAAACATCAAAACAAACAGTTAGTAAAAGGGGCCTGAAAATCTCCAGCATACAGCAGAAGGAGAAGGCAGAGATCAAAGGCATTTGATTAATTATATAACAACTCACTTTGTATAATTACATACTCATTGGCTTCTGCTAAATCAAGTACCTGTCCTTTCCACGTAAACATATTATGGCTTATTTCCAAAGTTAGGGTGTGTGTTCCAGGATAAACCAACAACAGAAAAGCTAATTATTAAATGTTCCAACTAAGAACAGCTAGTAAAGTTATCTTCTATTTAGTTTAAAGATTCAAGCTATGTAAGTTTCCAATATGTAATAGGTAAATGATATTAAAATAAGTAGGCAGTTTTTATTCAAATTTTTTGAAAGATGAATACAAACAAAAGTCACTTTCTTACTGATTTGTTTCTAGATCTGTGACATTATTTCAAAATGGGAGCAAGCCTCCAAAGAACAACATCCTGGGAAATGTGAAGGTACAAGGACTGTCCGCCTTACTTACAAAAATAGGTTTGTATAGCAGTTATAACATCTTTGTCTTGTGTCAGGATTTATATATATATTTTTTTAATTTCTGCAGTTTCTTCATATTAAAAATACTGGCTGACTCAAAACTTGCAATAGAAATAGTAAATGGATGTAACCAGAGCAATTTAAAAAATATATATGGTGTGGCGGGTTTTACCTCAGAAAGCGGTGAGGAGGGTGCTATAAAAAAGTAAGGGCAACACTGAGTTCAGAAGGCTAAAATTAAGTATTTGCCCACTGGTTTAAGTAGAAGTGGTGTTCTGCTAATGTGTTTTGACACTGACGTAAACATGTCATATTCAGATACTACCAGTCCTCAGGGCTAACATATGTCCCCATCTTCTTTATTTAATAACTTTCTGTCTTCTCTGCAGGCTTTATTTTTCAGTTCAAGTCCATGGGGAGACGGACAGAGAGAAGCTGCTGCTAGTCTATCAGACAAACGATCAAATAGTCAATGGACTTTTCCCCGTAAACAAAGAACTAGCGATGGAACTGACTGCTCTTCTGGCTCAGGTAATCCTGGTGCATTAATGGCTCACACAGCAGTTTTACAGATGGAAACCTTAAATTAAGGAGGTGGTCCAGAGTTGCTTGGCAGTCAAATGGCCTTCACCTTTTCTATGTGATAGTGCAAGAAATAGACTGGGCTGAAATCTTTGTTTAAAGCTAACTTCTGTACTTCAGTGGAAATGCTCTACTGTGAGCACTACTGTTGGCACCAGTACGGGTAAAGCTTTCTCTACCATCCTACACAGTTAGGCCCCATTTGATAAAGTATCATCTAATCACGTATCATTTCTTCATTTGCTATTGTTTAAATTATTTTTGCAAGTTAATATACCAAAGTAACAGCTGTTTAATGAAACGCTAAAGCTCCTTTACTAGAGATGGTCTTGATAAAATCTGTTTTATTTAAAAAAAAATAGACTCAAGCAAAGGAAGGTTACTGAGAAAGTTACTTAATGGTGTTACTCAAATCTAAACTGGTTTCGTAGCTGAAGATGTAGCAATCTCAGAACAGAACTAGATAATATTATACCCCGTATTTGTACAATTTATATTTGATACTTGTTTTTTCTTGCATGGTAAATATCAAATAAAATTACTTGCATGGCTTCTGTATCAGTGAAAAATACACATTACTGACAAACTGTTTCTGTTTTTCCTTGGTAAGACAGAAGAAATAAATACTCAGCAAGAAAATTACCCTGAAATAACAAATATTTTTCTTCTTTGTGGTCTTACCCGTAGGTAGAAATCGGAGATTTTGAAAGGCCTTTCTCAACACCAGCAGGGCAAGTCACTTCCCAGTCCAAGTCCAATCAAACATTAAAACAAGTTTTGGAGAGATTCTACCCCAAGAGATACAGGCATGGTTGTTCAGAAGAACAATTAAGGTGAGACATATTTTGCTGCTTATTTTCTCTGAAAACTTAGCAGTGAAATGAGGATTTTTCTAATTATCCTAAGGTATAACTGGCTGTTCTGCCAGATTTACCTACACCTGTGAGTGAAACTTATTTTCTTGCAGAATTAAAGAAGGCACTTCCTCTCTACATTTCTAATCTAAACGGAGTATCATCATTAAGCAGGCATTCTAGTAAAAGCTTTAGAACAGACAAATACTACATAGTTTTGCAAACCCCAGAGGTTTTGAAATTCTTATTTTTCTTACTCAGCAAGTGTATTTAGGTCCGCGTGTAGAGCGGAACTAGAAAAATGCACAGAAAAGAACTGCTGAAAGTAAAGAGCATAAGGGTCTGATCTAAGTGTTTGCTAATCAAATGTGCAATGTTTTGCAGCCAGTCAAATTGGCAATATGGTAACTTGGTGGACTCACTATTAATATATCACCTAATATAAAATTAATCATTTGCAAGTTACTTTACTCAGCAACTATTCATATAAAGAATAGCATAACAGCTTAATAAATTACCTAAAGTCAATGTCATAGCAATTTTGAAGTCCAAAACACATTACAGAAATTTTTTCCTCGTTATTCCGACATGGTTGACAGTTTAAAGCTGTTAATCATACACACAAAGCAACACTATTACATACTCAGAACATAACAGGGACTTTCAAAAGTATATGCTCAACAAATAAAAAGTTATGCAATTAATTTCAGAGAACAAAGTGTAAGAAGCACTAGCTCAGACTAACTTGTGGAGGCTAAGCCTGTTAAACTGTTCAATTAGTTCCTAAACTATGAATTGCCACAAGTTGAAAGACTGTAGCAGGGAAAGGACCCCTCTATACCTGTCCTATTTCCTGTGTTCTTTGCTAAGGGTGCGTTTTGACTTCATAAACTTCCAGTAAGTGTAAACTGCAAGTGAAGGATCTCACCTTTACAATACATTCCCCCTCCCTTTTCCAGGGCTGGATCTCATAGCTGCAGGGTGAGATATTCGTAGAATTCAGAGTGCTAGAAAGGTATGCCAAGTTTTTTCTGGAGGATTCATTTTCCATGGGATCATTTTATAGAACCAACAACCATTTTATTTTGTGACTACTACCTTGTAGTCACAAAATAAAAGCACCCTTTCTGGTAGCAGTGCCCAAATACACTGAGAAAGAGTAGCATTAAGCTCTATCTTCCACATCTGCTACCAGCCACAGGTAAAGATAGGTGCTAAGCTGGATGGATTTTTGGAATGACAGCTGGCATTGCTGTTGAGTACTGATAAAATTTGATTACCTTAGAGACACATTAAAAGCTGTACTTGATTCTCTTCCTTTATGCTGTTATTGCTACATCAATATTTAATCATAATGTTGCAGAAACGAGAAGAAACTTTGTCATTCTCATGTGCATAAAAATACTAAATGGTGTTTTGGATTTGTTTGATACTGTGTAAGTGATAGTCGTTGCATTAACTTAAATTATCGTTTTAACAAATGGATTTTTTTTGCTCATTAAACTTGCTATGGGTAAGCATTTAAATTCCTTTCAATAACTAAATTACATATTTCATTTCAACAGACAGCTTTGTCAGCGATTGTCTACAAGATGGATGGCTCTCCGGGGGCACAGTGCTGCAGACTGTGTGCGCATTTATCTCACTGTAGCCAGAAAATGGTCCTTCTTTGGTGCTAAATTGTTTGCAGCAAAAGTAAGAAACTTTAATGAATTTGAGTAGTGTGGGTTTTTTAATATAAATGTGATTTGCAGAGTTTTTGGAAAACTCTTTTGTTGAAAATGAGTATGATACACATACGCTGATTTAATCACTTGTCAAATTACTAATTTGTTTAAGCTATACACTGGTGAAATGTAACAATCATAGTGATAGGTATACCATATTAATAACTTCCCAATACTCTTACTGCTTGGTTTACGTTATTAATCTAGGTGGTATCTTTTCTTACATATTCAGATCTTCAGAGCCTTTTTCTTTCATACTTTTTTTGCCTGATAACTCTTAGAATATTGAAAGGTATCGTTAACTGGTTATGGAAGCAGAACTCTGCTCAGTAAATGTTGTTAAGGGTATTTGGAGCACTGTGCTGGCCTCTCTCTCTTAAACCACTGGTATCTTTATTCTCTTAATTCAAACAACTGTGTTCAGTAGAATTGTCACTTCACCCCTTATGTCTCATTAGGAAATCCCTATATATATATTATATATATATAAAAATTACCTATCAGCACTCTGTTCTTTACATGCATAGACTAGTGAACAAAATTAAAAGCTTTTTTATTTTATTAGTGAGACTGTACATTTTATTGGACTAAGCACTGGGAGAAGCTTCAGAAGCATTAGGTTGTGTTCACAGTTCCTCCACTGGCCTACTACATGGCTTTGTAGTTCCCTCCCAGTGTAAATCTCAGTAAGATCTGTGGATGAGAAGAGCTTTGTATTAGCTTACTCTTAATAGTTATTTACATATTGTCTCATTTTGAAGTAGTAATTAAAGAACGTATCTCTTTGTAGCCTCTAGCAACATCCACACTTGAGAAGTCCTTCATATGGTTTGCTGTACATGAAGATGGCATAAGCATCCTTGATTACAGCACTATGGTAAGTGACTTTTTTTTCTTTATTTATTTTGCTCAAAGTAGATTTTACTACTAAGTATATAGAGAGATTCACCAGCACAGTCCACAAAAGATGGCATTATCTAGTCTTTCCTCATAAAGCAAAAGCTTGTTCCTTTCAAAACACTTTCATGTTACCATTATAGGAGTACTAATAATAGAAATAAGTAACAATTTCTTTGCACTGAATTTATTTTTGTTTATCAGATACAGTTTTTATATCTTTTAATGAAATGTTAATGTTTTAATCATGCAGATGTCAGAAGATCCATAGTTACAGTTCTTACAATAACATTAATTTTCTTTTCTTGAAGACTTCATTTTCCATTATTATTCATAATACATACACTCTGCAAAGTGCAGTTACTTAAAAAGATTGTTATTTTCATTGTATTATTTTTGTTTAATAGTAGGTAATATAACTGAGTGTTATTTAATTATGTCATTTTAGGCTCTGATTTTTCTTTGATTTGCAATAAAAGTTTTCACAGAGAACGACTCATGGTAATCAGTGTAAAAAAGCAATGCCTGAGAAGATCCCTGCTTTAATTTATATCCTGCAAAGAAAGAGAATGGCATGTTGCTATTAGCAAGTGCTAATATTGAATATCAGAAAATTAAAATCTCGACTTCATAATTGCATTAATATAGGCCTTTTCATTACATTTCTTTGTTGTTAAAAAAAAACAACAAAACAGAACAGTAAAACAAAAAACATGAGGAGAGCAAAGAGCAGCTATACAGTAGCTGTATACAGAGAATGAGCAAAATGAGCTTGCATCAGACTGCAGAAAGCTCTATAAACACTGCCTGCTCATAGAGCTAGCTGTGGGATTTCTGCAGAGCACTGCCTGTTTACAGTGCAGGCAGGCCCTGCCTTCCATTTAAGGAATGCTCAGTTTCCAGAGAATATCCTGATTTTGTGCAGAAAGGATCACGGGTATCAGAACTGGTGCTGCAAGGAGCAGCTAATTTAGAACACTATTTGGAAATAAGGACAAAAAGAGGCTTAGTAATCAAACAAGTAAAGTGAGTTATCATATGGGTATTGTCTCATGATGAATTTTTGAATAATCTTAAGCATATTAATATGATGTTAATGATAAACCAACTGCTAATCGTAGACTCAAAGGCCACTAGTGTGGTGTTGAACATTGAACAGCAAGAGTTGAAGGAGCAAAGCAGAGGAGCTTTGAAGAGCATTTATGTACTGTCAGAGATGTGGAAAAAAAATTTACATTTAATTGTGTGTCTATAAACGATATCACTGCCCATAAAGAAATCCTGGAGTTAAATCACTTCAGATGTCGTACACGTTCCCATTTAACTTACTTAGGCACTACTTCAATTTCAAGTGGAAACTCCTAAGAATAGTTTCTCTCAAAGTTAGTCAGGAGTTAAGTAAATTGAATTACAGACTTAGGTTGAAACCTGCTCATAATAATCTAATGATCTAATTAATTTGGAATAGAAATAGAGGTCTAACTGAGGGGAGTCTTATCATATACAGTGGAAGTTCCTCATTGTGAAGGTCTGGATGAATCTATCCGAAAATTTACAATTAATTTCAAGATTCCTAAGAGGCTAACAACATTTTGAAAAATACACGTGCAGTTATATTTTTAAGAGATGTATTTGTCATAATCTGTTCTTCTTGCATTGACCTGCTTATAGCTTTGGTTTTCTTTTTTAAGCGATTGACAGTTACATATACATATAAGAGTCTGATGACTTTTGGAGGCTATCAAGATGATTTTATGTTGGTTGTTAATGATGCTCAGATGAAGGACAAAGCAACTGAAAAACTCCTTTTTGCCATGACAAAACCCAAGGTTGGTATATTACCTGAAATAGTTCCCCACCATCTGCTACTTTTCTACTTTTTCTAGTGGTTAATCCTTAACAGATGTGAAAGATGAAACACTTTCTTTATTCCTAGCATTCTGAGATTATTGACTTTTTCCAGATGGCTTTAGAGGGAGAAACAGTTACTAATGTAAGAGCTAACAGTGACAATACTGATGTGTTTTCTTTTCATGTCCCTTTATATAACATTCCAAATTTTTCATGTAAGTACATAGTCTGTCTGATTGATCAGCACCATAGATTTTTAAGAAACTGTTTCTGTTCTACAGTGGAATTGCAGAATACAAGATCTGAAAGATCTGTCACTTGTTAAAAATTCTAGGATATTTTTGCCTTTGGTAAAGGAGCTGTCAAGCTTTTAAAATCTATATTCTCTCATTCGCTGGTAAGATTGACTAAAACAAACAAAAAACAGTATGTGAAGTCTCTTGCTGTTATGCAGAACAATCTATGAAACAGTATGAAATTCTACATATAAATTTGGGTAAAGTCATGACTCTCGATACAGTTAGACTTAGTAAAATACATCTGTTCAAGTTTCCCTCAGACTGTGCCCTTACAGGCAAAGCTGGGTGGAATGCAAAGAGAAAATACAGTAAGTTCCCAGATGTCTTCATTCCTTTTATCTACTCTGCATCTTGAGTCCTTGAGCTCTAGTTATTTTCTTGGAAAACTGAGGGAATACATCATGAAACTTTTTTCTAAGAGCATCATCTTTTGGATTTCAAAATACCTCTCAAAATTGAATGGAAGGAGTGACCTGTTTGAATCATTTAAGACTGAAGAAGACAAAGTATCCAGCATACTGATAGGAATAACATTATATTATTGGAAAGCAGTGATAGAACAAAGTTCTGGTGGCATTTCCTTTCTCCCCATCATTAGTCTGATAAAGTAGAAGTACTTTTCCAGCTGATTGTCACTAGCTAGAAAGTTAGCTAGTTTTTCAGCAGTCAAAACACATCACTGTATTTTTCAAAGAGACTTATATGTTCCTGTTACAGATTCTTGAGATCACTCTACTGATTGCCAGCTATATTAACAACTTTCATCAGCAAAAAGGAGCTGCTCATCACCTCTCCGCTCCAGCATTACTGACACCTCAAAGTGGACAGAAATTCAAGGAACTGGGGAGTCAGCCACTGCTCACAAACAACAGACCAACTAAATGTCCAACTTTGTTATGAAAGTGTTACCTATCCTGATAATGCATCTTTGCTACATGGTTTCTACACTGATTGAAAACTTTTTGATGTACAAGATATACTGCATAAGCAGGTTTGTAAATGAAGGAAAGGAGGATGGGTTTACATTCATTTCAATGGTATATAGCAGGAGGAATCCTTTAATTAAAGCCTGGCACAAACTGGAATGTTGAAGATGAGCCGATTTAAGAATTCTGCTTTACTGGGGTGGCTTGTCCCTATAGCTCAAAAATAAACATGTCTGCTGATAGTGATGGGGAAGGGTGGCCTTGGGAACAATTGTATACATTTTAGACATTTTCCAGATATTTTCTCAGGGACCAAACTGTCTTCACCTCTTCAGTTGCATTTTAAAAAGTACAAATTGTATAACCTTCATTTTTTTAAGGATTTTTTGTTTTTAAAGATGTCAAATAGTATATTTTCCATTTCCGTCACCCCTCTTTATTTTTCAGTACAAGCACCATGGGACCAAAACCAGCAAATTGTTTTAGAACTGTTTCTTCTTAAAAACAAAACGAAACAAAAAAACATAAACACATCGTGTAACTATTACAAATCTAACAAGTATTCTCCCAATACCCTTTTAGCCATTTTTATACAGCTATTCTACTTGGCAAATCTCCAGCCTCAGCCTGATACATTTCTAAATAATCCCTCTCAACCCCAGCCTTTTGGAAAAATCTAAATTGAACAGGCACTGTATTTAGTATAGGTTTATTAAACTTCTTTAATCCAGAAATAATAATATAATCCAGATGCAAGAATGACTCAATTTAAAACACAGGAATAACACAGAAAGCCATTGTTTGAATAGTTGAGCTTGGAGACATAAGTGACACAAAATGCCATGTGTATAATGTATATACAGTGATACAGAATAATATTTTGTAAAAGATGTATTTGTTGTTTTTCATTTGTATCTATACGTTTCACATTATAAAACTAATTACAATGTTTTTGCACACTAAAGGTAAAATGTTGCATCTGCACTATTGGACTTGGGAGCACTTTCTGGTTACCTTTTTCAGCTGCAAGCTTCAGTGCTGTGTAGGGTCAAGTGCATAGAAATGACACTCCTTTTAAATTCCAAACCTCACATTTTAGTTTCTGTGCAAAGAAACCATTTCTACAGGCTCTGAAATAGATCAGCAGCGTACTCTAATAATTTAGGTCCAACTGCAGAGGGGGTAGTTAAACATGAATCACTGATTTATACACATTTTATAATATCCACTTCTGCTCATGCTGATGATCATTGATCATTAATCACTTACTGCTAACCTTCATCATTTTAGCCTGCAGTAATTTCATAATGGTGAATATTAATATCCGAAGGTTGAAAAACTCCTTTATTATATGACATTTCATATATACAGACATACAGATTGAGAGAGGAGTAATTTTCAGCTGTTTGCCCTCTGTAAAAGGTAGGAAGTATCTTCCTGAAGAATTGAAATAGGTTAGTTTGGAGATACAGTTTGCAAAAAGAACATAGTATTAAAAAGTGGGAAGACAAGTTGGCTGGCTGACTTGATAAATACATTTCTTCTGAAAACTCTCAAAATCCTGCCACAAGCTAAGTCTGCAAGATGCTACCTCCACTGTATAGCTCAGTGCTTTGTCTTGAAAATTACAAACATATAACAAACATACTGTATATGGATGATACCATGTTTGAAATGCATAAAGAGCTTCCTGATAATTTTCAACCTTCATGAGTAGTTACACCATTTCTCTTTCAATGAGGCAGGGGACAGCAGATCTGCCATCATCAGGGCAAGCACCCAGGAAGCTACAGGAGACCCTGGCACTGACTGCAGCATCTTTTTGTGCAGCATCCCCAGGTGAAGCGATGCAGGTAGTGTGGTGTAATTGGGTTAGGAATTAACATCCCTTTGAGATCAGCAGTATAGTTAACTTCTGGAGAATTACGGGGGTGGGTGACAGTACTTACAAATTCAAACAGATGGTACTGCATCAGTTATACTCAGGTGGTAGTGTAGAGCTTATCCAATATGCTTAGAAAGTTAATTTAAAAACAAAAAGTCATCACAAAATTATGATAGCAATCAACCTAGCTAGCATTGATAGCAATCAATTGCTAGCATTCCAGCTAGCAATTATTTCCTCATTGTCCATTAGGACATAGTGTAAGGCATGTCACTAGTGAGTTTCTTCATGCAGTTTTTTTTAAGTCTTTGAATTAAGTTGGTTAGTTTGGAGACAAAATGATACACAAAGCTGATGTGCAGATACTGAGTCTTTTAAACAGATTTCATTAACAATTCCTGCCTTACAAACAGTTTTTTTTATAAAGCAGCATACAATATAAGTAGTATGACTTTCCTTCCTGCTTTTAGGTAGATAATTCAGAAACTGCTTTGCTTTTTAGGGTTAAGCTCCTGGTGATGCAATATATCCCTAAATCATAGTGCCAGAAGCAGTCCATGTTCTAGTTTCCCTTTGTTTGGCAGCACCTTTCAGACTTAATATGGCTGTTTAATTATGATGGGTCATCATTAATCCCATATACAGTCACATTACCAGAAATACCGTGTAATTTTAATGAAATAAATACACTCAGAATCACAGCATGACCATACAACACTAAACAATCAAGTTTTTCCCAGGATTTTGATTAGCAACAGCATGGTTTCCATAGTGTGGTAGTAACCTCTTCAAGCAAACCTTTCCCTAAAATTAACAGTCAGCAAGGAAAGTCTCTTACACAAACACACTTCAACAGCATGGCTTGAAGAGCTGTGTAAGTCTCTGGCCGACTTGCTCTGTGTTAAACTAGCCCTAAACCTACTTAGAAGATACCATACAATATAAGTCAGCAAAACTGAAAATTTCAGAGTCAGGTAGTTGATCTGTTCTGCCTTCCCCACCCAGCTTGAACCTCATGAGTGATCCACATCTCAGTCTTAGCCTTGAGTCATCCATCAAAACAACTCATACCATGCTAACCTAATCCACGACTAAAGCCCAGGCAGGAACTAGACTTTTCTCACCTTCTGATCTTTAGCAGCAGTGATGAAATGGGAGCTGTGAAATGAGCAGGAACCTCTGGGACTGATGCTGAAGAACTTCCTGTTCTCCAGGCTTGCAGAACCTAGGTTGTAAAAATATTCTCAGGGTGAGATTAATAGGTAAGCTCATGGAAGGAGACTTCACTTTCCATCACAAGTTTCAGAACATTTTGTGCTTGCTTTGAGCACTCAGTAACAACAATCTGTATAGATAGCCAGGGAATCTGAGCTTGACAATGACTGAAAGATCAGTGGTAAATCTCTATATAAAGAATCACATTGATTTGAAAATAACATTCGGAATACAATAAAAACGAATAAATACAAGTTTGCCTTGTCAATCTTTGTGCAGCAGGATTAGTAAGCAAACTGCGCATTTCTAAAACAAGCAAGACTTCTGTAGTACAGCAGGCAAATGATAAAGCTTTGAGTTTTTAATGCAATCTACAAAATTAGTGTTGTCCTGTTATTTTAGATTAAATGTTGTTATATTTAAAATAAAGGCCTATGTTTCCCTATTAAAAAAAAGGCTGGTAGGTATTTAGAGTTGGAGTTACTTCTCAGACTAATACAGTTTCACAGTTTATGTCCTGGAGGAAGGAATTCATCCTTGCATAAAGGAATGTACCACTTAAACATTTACATAAAACTTTAATAGTCCATACAGCTTAGTGTGATCCATTAGCTTGAGTTAATTTTTAACTAAGGTGATTAGTAATTAAGTAACAGTGAATTGGGAAGAAAAAGTTATTTTTTACTGTTTCTTAGGTCATGAGCAGCAAAGGGAAGACTGAGATGAAACTTAAAATACTGGAAACTAAATTCATTTCTGGGCTGGTCTTCAGCACGGCTTATTAATTAATTAATGCCCCTACACTGTTTCCCAACCCAGATTTGTACTGCAGCATTTCCAGATTTGCCACCACTCTGTCACTGAGTAAATAGCTGTAAAAATACTTTGCTTTTTAGTGCCAGGAGCCATTCCTACGTTAGTTTTGCTTTGTTTGGCAGAGAAACAGTAGTTTCGTCCAGGGTTTTTACCACTTTTAACTGGTGATTATAGATTAGCGTTGGCTTCATATACCAAGATACTGGAAATGCTCTGTGGAAATGAAATTCATGAAAGCAATGCATTTAGAAAGGCATCAGCATGGCCCGCCACTTTATAACACTAAATAATGGAGTTTCTTCCTGTTTTTTAATCAGCATGGTTTCCAGAGGGGGTTGTCAAATGCTTTAGAAGAGCCGTGTAAAAACCTGGAAGTGAATTAAGACAGGGGAACATAACCAAATGAAGACTTCTGGAGCTGCAACTGAATAATTATGCAAATTAAACTTAGAAAAAATATATTTCTTATGAACAAGTGTTACATAGGGTCTGTCTCTTGCTACATAAGCCTTCTTTGGGGACAGATGGAGTTGAGATGAATTCTGAGTAAATTCTGAGTGAGGCCCATTTCCTGGTTTTCATCAAACAGGCAGGAGATTGTTTTATTTTGTTTTTTCTACCTCGCTCTCTCAGGACACAAAGCAGCTACTCAGCTACAGAAGGCAGCTCCAATTGCTCTTCTGGGTTGTGGGTCACCTCCCTGCCTGGCAACACTCGTGACTTGTCAGGTTTACCTGCTTCCTACATCCCCTTCATGAGGTGAGGTCATCCCACAGCTTTACTGCACCCGAGTTTATTAACAGCCTTAGGGCTGAGGTGAAATATTCAACTAAAACACAGCGGCCAGTTTGGGGCCAGTTCTCTTTAATGTTTTTTATCAACGATCTGGATGCAGGACTCAGATGTATTCTAAAGAAGTTTGCAGGCAACACTAAGGAGGAGCTGTTGAGTCCCTTGAGGGCAGAGGCCTTACAGGGAGATCTTGACGAATTAGGGGGTTGGGTGATCACCAACTGTATGAAATTTAACAAGAGCAAGTGCCAGATTCTGCACCTGGGACGGGGCAACCTTGGATACATGGACAGACTGAGGGATGAGAGGCTGGAGAGCAGCCCCACAGAAAGGGATCGGGGGGTTTTGGTTGACAGCAAACTGAACGTGAGCCAGCAGCATGCTTTGGTGGCCAGGAGGGCCAGCTGTATCCTGAGGTGCATCAGGCACAACGCCGCTAGCGGGTTGAGGGAAGGGATTGTCCCGCTCTACTCTGCGCTGGTGCAGCCTCACCTCAAGTACTGTGTGCGGTTTGGGGCATGGCAATATAAGAAGGATATAAAGCTGCTAGAGAGTGTCAAAAGGAGGGCTACAGAGATGGTGAAATGGGGGGAAGACGCATGAGGAGCAGCTGAGGCCCCTTGGTTTGCTCAGCCCCGAGCAGAGCAGGCTGAGGGGAGGCCTCATGGCGGCCTGCAGCTCCCTCACGAGGGGAGCGGAGGGGCAGGCGCTGAGCTCTGCTCTCTGGGGACAGCGACAGGACCCGAGGGAACAGCATGGAGCTGGGACAGGGGAGGGTCAGGCTGGGGGTTAGGGAAAGGCTCTGCACCCAGAGGGGGTCGGGCACTGGGACAGGCTCAGGAGGTGCTCGGGCAGTTGTGCGGGACACGGTTCGGTTTTGGGGCGCTCCCGTGTGGAGCTGGGAGCGGCCCCGCGCCGAAGGCAGAGGCTGCGGGGGCCGGAGGCTGCGGGGGCCGAAGGCTGGAAGGGGCCGAAGGCCGCGGCTTCTCCCCCCCGCCCCGCGGAACTACAGCTCCCAGCCCGCCCCGCGCCGTCCCCATGGCGACGGGCAGCCGGGCCCGGCCGGCGGGGAGCGATGCCCGAGGCCGGGTAACGGGGGGAGCCCCCCGGGGCCGCGGGAGGGGGGCTCGGCCGGGGGTCGCCGCGCCTCGGTGCCGGGACCCCAGAGCCGAAGGGGAGGCTGTGGGGGGGCCGGGGAAGGGGCAGACGTGGGCGGGGCCTTGGCCGTGGCCGCGGTTTCGCCCTAACGAGCCCCGGCCGCGGCTTTCCCGGTAGCGACACGCTGTGGGACGCGGCGCGGGCTGAGGCGGAGCGGCGAGGAAGCCCCGGCGACGATGGCGGGGCCGTGCGGGAGCAGGCGGTGTTGTGCGTGGGCAGCAAGCTCGGGGTAAGGCCGGGGCCGCGCCCGCCCTGCGCGACGCTGCCTCAGGGCAAGGGGGGTGGGGGGGGCGGGAAGGGGGTGTTAAAATTCGGAAAAGTCGCGGCCAGAAGGAAAGCTCCTGGCTGTAACTGGGGGACGCGCTGTTAAGTTTCCCCCCGTTAAAGTTGAACAAAACGATTGAAGTGCGCTTCTGCCGGTTTTGTTGTAATTAGAGGCGCTGGCGCCCCGCCTGTGGTTCTGCCCCTGCCCCTCAGGCAGGTGGGAGCGGGGCCTGGCCGAGGGGGCCAGCTCCAGGTGCCACGGGACCGGGGCTGTTTTACCTCATTGCCCCCAAATTTGGTATTCAGTAATTTCATATTTGTCATTTGTTAGCATTTAACTGAAAAGTAAATCAGAAAATACTCGCCTTTTTGACCAAGTGAGTCGCAGTTATAAGGACATTTTTACTTCAGGAGTATTGGTATACATACAACTTGTAATTAACAACCTTTAAAATATTTTTTAAATTACAAAATGTAATTTTGGGGGGATTTACACGAAATTCACAGATTTTGGAGATAGGAATTGACAGAGGAGTAGAACTGTAGAAATGCTCGTCCCTTCACAGTGACGTTGTACTCATAGTGTCTGAAGTGCAACAGTGCAAAGACATTTTTCCGTGTGTTCATCTGTATCTTAAGCATTCTTTTTATTTCCATCTCGTCAGTAATAACTTACGCAAACCCTGTGGAAAGCTGGCATATTTTTAATAATTAAAGACAGAGTTGGTCAGGTTGATCACTAATGTCTAACTTTACCTACCCTGGTCCTATTGCTGTGTTTGTCATCTCCATCATTCTGTAAGAATGGTAGCGTAGCTTGATGCTGACAGAAAGTTGGTAGCTAACTTGCCACTATAAGGTTACAAACAATTACACAAGTTTATACTTTTCAGTTACTTTATTATTGGAATATTAAAATAATAATAAGTTTCATTTAGTGATAACTATTTACGCTTTAATGATGCTGCAGTAGACTTCTTTGCTTTTAATTTCCAGGGAAAGACCACTATTATACTGAGGTGTCTCGAGAGGTACGTGTGAAATTTTTAGAAGAATTTTTCAACTGTGGATACTTACAGGATAATCATAATAAAAGATGTCATAAGAAACAGTTGCCAGTAAAAGAGAACTGTTTAAAATCCTGTTAACTAGTAGCAGTAGTCTTGAAATCTGGTTACTTACTTGCCAGGGGTTGATAATGATCTGTAAGCATTTGCATTTTTATGTTATTAAAGTGTGTGGTTTTTTTTCCGAATTTTATATTGTGTGATAATTCATCATACATGCATACAGATGTTGTCTTCTGTGTCCCACCGATCACTCGTAGATCGAACTTATCACTGCTACCTGTCAAGCTGCCCCCTCCAGTCCTCTCCAGCATGAGAGTGCCGAAATGGCCATCGGTTGAGATTGGTGCTCCTCTTTCTCCTGTCATTGGCAACAACTGAAATAGAGATCTGTCCTCTTGGAGTGTTTTCTCTGCATTGCTGTTTCTAAGCCACATTCTGAAGAGACTGGACTATGCTATAGTAACAGTAGAACTATCCTTATTGTAGGATCTTGACAAAATAATTTCATTTTTCCTTGGATAGGGAAGAGATTCCAAAGCCAACATTAGCTTTGGAGTATACCTTTGGAAGAAGGGCAAGGAGTCACAATGCAGTGAGTACCCAGAAAGTGTAGTTTACTTAACATGTATGTATGTATTTATTTATTTTATATATATAGTTTATGTGTAAGAATCTTGGGGATTTTTAGCTTATTGTTTGTGGGGAAAAACTTTTTTTTTTTAATATTATCTTCTTAAAGTTAGCTATTTTAATTTTCTATTTTAATTTCCAATATATTTTCCCCTTCACTAGAATGCAGTAGACCTGAGACCAAAGTATCACACAAAGAAATCAGTTTCATTTTATAAAATCTACCTTGTTTGTTGTGTTTGAATGCATTTATTTTCCAACTGTAGGAAGATGCATAGGACGCATGCCTTGAACTTTGTCTTTAAAATGTGAAATGAGTATAAACAAAGGGATGTCTCTTACAACTGGATTTATGAGAGACACAGTCATCTCTGAGGATGTTAAACCATCATTAAGTTTTGGGTTACGTGTCAGTATCGCTAACTTTTGCACTGCAGAATATGTTAATGGGAATATTGACTCCACTCTGATCACTACACTGTTCAGCAGTAGTAACTATTGCTGCAGCTACTTGCTGTTGTTCTATTACTGAAGCAGGGAGTGGAAAATCTGACTTGGTCTAAAAGATAAAAATCACTTAAAACTTCTCCCAGAAGCTAAATGCGAATGTAGAGATTTGTTATTTTTCTGATTGAGAGCATTAGTCTTGAACTACAATAAACTAAAAGAAAGGGATGAAAACCTGACATACGTATATATTCTTAATGTTTTTTGTTAATTATGCTGCTTCCTGACTTCTTCACTCTAAAGCAGTCATTCATCAAGATGGACATAGGCATGCCAGGAGTATTTAATAAGTGTTGTATGGGATTTCTTGAACACGTTTGGTGTTTTAGAAAACACTGGTGAAGTAATACATGTTATTGTTCTGAGTCACTTGCATGAAAACCCAGCTTATCAGAATCAAGATCTTCTCTTGGTGTTGCATGGAAGTGTGTGTTTCTAACATAAAGAAACTCTTTTGCAGCCCAAAGATACAGCTCACTTTTGGGAGCTAGGTGGTGGAACCTCGTTACAAGAACTGATTCAAATACCAATCACTAGCAACAACATAAGGTAAGTGATTAATATTAATTACAATTCTTGTGTTAATTTCAGCTGTCTTTCATGCAGAAATAAACCTCTAGACCACTTATTCACTAGACTGCTTATTAAAAATCTCTGGATTTTTAGGAAGTGAAGTGCCCACCCGATGAGAACAAGGTCAGATATGAGAGACGATGTTTCTGAGAGGGACTGAAACTGGTGAATTGATTTGAAGACAAAAGCAAGAAATTCAGAGAATGAAAAGAATACAGTGAGAATAATATGTAAGAGTGGTAGAATAGCCTAGGAAGAAAAAATGCATCAAGAAATGAGAATACAATGAGGGTGCCATTTTGTGTTTTTTTTTTTTTTGTTTTGTTTTGTTTTTTGTTTTGTTTTGTTTTTTTTTTTTTTTCTAGCTAAGGAAGGTAGAGTGGCAATTGGAAGGGGAGAAACGGATCAAAAATGTTACCTTTGTGTTATGATGCATTGCTATATTTCCTTGGTAGTGAGCTTTAACTTCTATTAAAAAATAGTACTAACGGGAAGGATACAATTTTTATCACATACTCTTGCTACTGTTCTGGCTATCGAGATAATGCTGTTATTTAGTGAGAGACTAAGATGGAAGAAAAACACTTCTAGCATGTGAAGCCTTTTGATGCTAGAGCGTCCTGGAGACAAAAATCAAGGATCATATTTTCATTAAATGAACTTAACTGAGCTCCACCTCTGTCAGTCTTCTCTCCCCATTTTATTGATAAAGGAATCTTCTGATGTGTGCAATCTTAAGGTTCTTTGATGAGTGAGCCACACTGTTCTTTAAGATCATCTGTGTTCATAAGACAATATTTTAATGTATTTATTACTCAGAAGTTCTACCATCTCAAGTACTTAAGTATAGGAGCTTTTCACTGATTTTCTTGTCCATCTACAGTTAAGGAGTTTGCTTGTTTAAAAGTTCCATGAACTATGTTTTGTTGCACCAAGAGACTTTTCACCAGACTTCTTCCACAGTGTTTCGAAGTTAAATTGGACGTTTATTTTGCTTTGTAGTTTTCTGATAATCACTCTAGTCTGGAATCCCCTATTTCTTGTCAGGATGGAAGTGGGGAAAAATCATTACATCCAGTCATTTTTCTGCATTTCCAATGTGTTCCTTCACATTTGTATTGTAATACTGCTGGAGTTTTGGGAGGCAGGGCTGTGGCTGGAGAGGAGTTTATATATAAACATTTTTCATTATAATCACCTTTAAAAGCCTGGTAATTGGTTTTGAGTGTTCTGAGTTCTTCCATTTGCCATTCTGTCTTTCAGAAGACTTTCTGATATGCTCATTTGAGGTTCCAGCTAATATGGTTCCAGAACCATCCATGACACAGAATAATTCCCCTTAACCAGCTTTTTCTATTTAATATTACAAGAATAATGAAAGTATAGAAATCTCTAATAAATTCATGGTTAAGAAAGATCCTGACCATTTGCTGACATTGCTAACGGGGAGTGTATACTTAAGAGATGACCAAGATACATGGCAGCAGAAGTGCCCAGTCACACAGGTAGAAGTTGAATATGATCAGGATGTTTGCATATTTTACTTCTTTGTATCAAAGTCTCTGGACAGAAAGTTTTATATATAGAATCTTCCAAACCCTCTGATGGAAAGTTGCCAAAGTAATAGTTCTGAACAAGAAAAGATGGAGAGGTTTGCTCAGTGCTCAGAGCATGCTTTAAAGCCATCTGCCTTTGCTGTCACATTTGATTCTATTTTAGTGTTTGTATTTTCACATTTGTTGCTTTCAGCATTTGTATTAGGGTTATGGTTGTGTATCAAAATGTAAATTGTCTCAGGCACTGAAAATTTGACCACATAATGCCTTTTTTAATAGGTCGTTTGCTGTAGTTCTTGTATTGGATTTGTCCAAACCTAATGAGCTCTGGACTACCATGGAGAATCTTCTGCAGGCCATCAGGCACCACGTGAATAAAATTTTAGCCAAACTGGAAAAAACAAATCCTGAAGTAGCTACTGAAATTAAACAGAGGATGCGGAACAGTCTGCAGAAGGATCATCCAGTAAGTTACTTCTAATATTTTCTCCAGATGTCACAGGCCTTTATACAGTTAAAGATAATGCTTTTGAAAATCATAAACAACTCTTTTAGATTTTTATGCATGACTGGAAATCCATTTGATGTAGATGAACCTGTTCACTGGAAAATTATAGCAATTTAATAAAAATTCAATAAGAGCAGAAACAAGGAAAGAAGGTTTCTTATATCTTTTTGTTAGATATCTAATGTGATTGTTATGGCATGTTACACCAATCAAAAGAAATAGTTTTAGAGTAGCAGTTTGCTTTTTCCCCCCTCATCTTTTTAAAATGAAGATGAAAACTAGAATGTACAAAAGTCATCTAGCAAGAGACTAGCTGAAGGTACAAATTTAAGCAAAGAATATGGTTATAACAGCCATCAACATGACTATATACTTTGCATTTATTTAAATGTCTATCACAAACTCAATGCCTTTTGATAATCTGACAACTAATTAAATTATAAAGTTTCAGAAATGTTAACATCAGTCCTTTAAACATAATTGCTAACTAAATCTCTGGAAAAGCTAAACTAGATTATGTGCAATAGAAATGAAAAATCATTGTGCATTAAACCTCTGCAAATGTTGTGCATATATAATGCATAAATAAGTATTCAACAGTTCAAAGGCTTGGCACATAAATCTAGTTACTGTAGCTTCTATATAATGTAATGTAGCAAATGCTTATATTGAAAAGTAACTTCTCCATTTTTCGAGAAAGCAACCTATGCAACACTCAGTAGATTTATAGATTTAGAGTATAGCATTTGAGCTCTGCTGGATAATGATTTTGTTTTTCACTTTTAGAGAAGGTATTTCACAAAAAGAAAATACCTACAAACACACTCAGCAACAAATCATGACCACAATGTCAACTTTACATGTAGAGCTTATGAATTGGAAAACTGCAAACTTTTTTCAGTAGCAAAAAGCATAATGCCACTAATTGCTTTGAAGAGAAGGCTTGTTATACTTGCCCGGTAGGGAACACAATTATACCTTCTCCTCTCAGGTTTCCATTCAGCCTTCATTATCAAAATCAGGAAGGATGTAAACAAAATGTTATGTTGCTACTGGGTTCTCTTGAAACCTTCATCACTGTTCAGGGAAAAAATTATGTCAATTTTGTGGGAGGAAATACCATCTTTTATAATCAAAAACGTAAATGACAGTTCAAGGAAAAATTTATTTGCTCCTTTATGCTGAAACATTTTTGTGATAAAGAAGAATTGATAAGATTTTGGTTTGGTTTCCTTTGTTGTCTTGTTTGTTGTTGTTGTTCTGTAGGGTTTCTGTTTGATAGTTTGATTTATCATTATTATTTTTTGAAGGATTAGATATATTCCATTAGACTGGATAAAGTATTGTTGGCTATGATGTTAAAGCATGTATCTATCAAGTGCAGACCTTGTTTAAAGGTGGCTGGATGCCAGTTTTAATGCTTCTGATGTTATTTCTAATTATTTTTTTCTCAAGAAACCAACGCTTCACCTGTTTATTTTTTTCAGTTCTGTGTTCTATGCATCCAATTTTAAGTTATGGTAATTTTGCTCAGAGGTTTTACCTTGACAGCGTAGGGACGAAGCCATTATTTTTCCCCTCAAAGTACAGGATCTTCTGTATTTGCATCTTGTCACTTCTCCTGCATGTGAAGTAAGCAGGTTTAGAAGAGAACAGTTAGGTCAACGTCTGCTATGACTTCTTTCTTTTCCACTCTTGTGCAACCAATGCAGCTTGACTGTCATAGTGTTGACACAAGGGGATTGTCTCATTTCACGTGGACTACACAAAAGCCTTCCAGATACACTAATCAAAACTGGTGGTAGGTCTGCAAACGAATGAGAGGGTTTTGCCCTCTTCCCTTTCCATCTAATGTTAGAATTGGAGTATACACCACAAAAGCCCTTTTCATGGCGCTGAGTTTTGTGACTGCTCAGAGGGATTATTTCCTAACTGTTTACAAGCAAATGAAAGAACTGTAGAATATGGTGTGGATATAGAATTGAAGTTCATTCATCCAACTTAAGGTTTTGAAAGAATAAACCTTGTCTCCTGTAAATTAATATAACCCCTTTTAGTTTGAACTGTTGCAATATTCTACAGCTTGTTTACACTGCGTAACTGTCATGTATCTGTTCAATAGGATTACGAGTTGGTTGACCCTTTTCCCATACCCTTGGTGATTATTGGAAGCAAATACGATATTTTTCATGTAAGTCACTTTTTTATTTTTGTGTTTTTGTTGGTAGCTGTGACAGCAACAACAGTAAACTATCATTTTGTTCTGCAACTTTTTTTTTTTAGTGCTTTTTCAAGTTTTTACAAACAAGTGAGTAATTGCATCTTTTAGCAGGGAGAGGAAAGAAATGTGGTACTGCTGGATTCTCTCCTAGGACTTTAAAAGCCCAAACAAATGCATACTCACTTTTGAAGTGGCACTTGATCATGAGAAGCTAGAACAGTCTGTTTGATTTTCAGCTGTTGTACTGGCAACTTCTGCTTCTCTGATGACAGTACATGGATACCAGGCCGACCCTCTGATTTAATTCTTTATTACCGAGGCTTTATGCTGAGCCCTGGACACTTTAAAAATGTAAAAATCAGTGACTCTCATATAATAAACACGGAACAGCCTAATGCCATTGGGGTCTACAGACAGACTCCTGCAAGCTTCACTGGTACCAGGTTTTTGCCTCCTTTCTCCAGGGAAGGCCATCTGTATGATCTTGTATTAAAGGAACATAAATGAAATGGTTTTTTGTGCACTTCTCAAATCTGACAGTTATTAGAATGTAAAGAACATATGGCCAAATGTTAACTTTTAAGTTAAATATTTTCACAAAAAGAAGAAAATTCTTACTCTTCTTGAAGGCAGTACTTCTAAAATTTTAAAACAAAAAGAAACATAAATTAATTGGAAATTGAATACACATTCCCAATTAAGAAACTTTTTCTAGACTAACATTTTGCCTGAATTATGTTCCCTCTGTAAAAAAGAAACAAAGGAAAATTGTGACATTTCTTTTCAGAGTAGGCTGTTACTGACTCTGTCTTACAATATAATTATGCTGACAGCTGAACGCCTCATATATTGTAGCCTAACTGCATTGCAGTTTATACAAAAAAATGAAAAGTTCTAGCTGTTATATTTTGTTTTTTTGTTTCTAATGCATATGTTCCAATATCAACTTTTTTTTTTTTTTTTTAGGAGTTTGACTCTGAAATGAGGAAAACAGTAAGCAAGACACTTCGATTTATTTCGCATTATTATGGAGCATCATTGGTGGTATGTATCTTCATTTTCTAACTAAGGAAAGATGAGCAATAGTTATGATATGAAACAATGTTGTAAAAAATAGAAATGCAAAACTCTTAGAGAAAATAGGGCTTAATTGGTTTTACAATAGCTTTCTTAATGAGCTCATATGCAATGTGGGTTACAGGGATTGGCAGGGGATAGATGAATATACCTTGTTAACAAGCAACATACCTAATTTCCAGTGTCAGCAAAAACTAAATAAAAATGGTTATGTGTTAGCCACTCAGTTGCTGTACTGACTTTACTATGTGGCTGGCCAAAGTTTTTGTTGGTATAAGAAAGCATGACAGGAGGAAGCGATTGTCCTAGGTGGCGTTAGAGGACTGCTCCCTTCAGTAGACCGATGAATGTAGGTCTAATGACCAGGCTTCTGAAGGCTAAAAAACTTGGCTCCAAGGGCATGTCTTTGCAGCAGTTTAGGTGTACCTGATTACCACAGCTTCACAACCCAAAACAGCTGCCTCCTAGTTCCTCTCTGCATCAGAAGATGGTTCTAACTTTATCAATCACCATTTATGTAAAGCCTTTTTGTGATAGTGCCTTATTTTGGTTGCCAAACAACTTAAGTTTGCTTTAAATTGCTGTACATACAGCATGTCCCTTTGAATCTATGTAAAATTGTACAGCTTTTGTACGCTGACGTATGAATTCATCTTTTAACCGAGAATATTACTATCTTTAATTAAAAAATAATAAAGTATCTATGTATTATTTTAGTTAAAAAATAAAAACCAGGAGTCTAAAAATTTTTGGATACCAATACTGATCCCCATTGAAATGAGTGAGAGAAAGTTCATTTCCCACAGGAGAGATCTGACTTGTTTCTCAAAGAATTGAATCTGTTAGGATATGTAATACCTTAGAAAGGAATAAGCATTCTGCTTGAGAAGATATTCTGGGAGGTGTTTTCCAAGAAATCTGTACTGGTTCTGTTGTTATTGAACTGCTTTTATTATGTGTGAACACTTTTATAGTTACTTAATACATTCCTAAGTGTTTGTGGTATTCTGGATAATTTTTAACGTAGTTTAAAATCTTACTAACTCATTAGTTTTGGGCAAAAGATTCTTGTATCTTAACATGCATGTTTCAAAAGTTGTGAATCAATATTTTAAAATATTTTTCTTGCTATGCTTTGAAAGGGAGGGTGAGATTTTTATTCTAGTAAATCCAGGAAACATACATATGTATAGAGAGATAGATAGATAGATATAAATATATATATTTATTGGTGTCACAAATCAACCATGCTGTATCGGAAATCCTCTGTACAGATGACATAATGTAGCGTTTCTGTGATGGAAGATCATAATATATACTTTTTCTCATTTATGTAGTTCACCAGTAAATCTGAGGCTCTCCAGCTGAAAGCCCGTGTTCTTATTAATCACTTGGCATTTGGCTATGAGAGAAGGTAACATAATTATTGTCCGATTATTAATTGTCTTGCCCAGAGTCTTGAAGTATCTAATAAAAACATTTGAATCACCAGAACACTTTTATTTTGATTTTTATTTTCAAATTATCTTCTCTGCAAGATGCTTGTTTGTGGCATTTTACTCGTGTCTCAGCTCCGTATCTCTGTGTAGAACAGCAGTAATGCCTTGTTTTGATCCCCAAACTGACAGAATAGAAATTTGGTCACCACTAGCATTGAATAGACTTTATTTACCTATATTTGCATGCAAAGCCCAATAAGAGCCTAGTCTTGTCTAGAGTAATGTAATGTTTTTAGTTTATTACTAAATGTTTGCTTATTTTCTTTTTTTCTGTTTAGTAAGTCTGTGTCAGTGGATCACAACAAACCTCTATTTATACCAGCAGGCATGGACTCCCTGAGCCAAATAGGTTAGGACATTTGATGTTCGTTGTGTTTCTTGTTTACTTGTTTTTGAAAATTAGAAAAAAAATATTAAGCAGATACAAAGTAAAGTTGGAATTATAACACATTGCTGTCTGTTTTAACTCATCATTGAAGCAAAGGCTTAAAAAATTAAAACTGTGATTCATAGTTTATATTATTCAGAATTATTTGTGCTGTTTTACGTAGTTTTATGAAGTATCTGGGCTACATCAAACAGTAATTTGTTGTGATATCAACCTTCGATCTAAAAGAAAATATAATATACAGTACCACCCAGCCTGTTTCATGGTGGGAGATCAGTGTTTTCTCAAGTCTTCTTGCAGCTTGTCACTGCAGAACATGATATACTAAATTAGATGGATCATTAGCCAAAATGATTTGGTAATTCATGTAGTAACAACAACATTCTTGCATTATTCTGTGCTGTGCTGAAATCCTTAGGGCCACCGCCCACCTCTGATAGCGATATTGGAAAGATGCGTGCAAACACTCCTTTGGAACTGTGGAAAAAAGTATTTGAGAAGACCTTTCCTCCCGAGGTAGGTGTTTGCATGTCTGCTGCAGAGCTTCTTTTTTCTTAGGATAGTAGTAATTTTTGTCTTTCAAGTCCAATGACTGGAATTTTGGTCTCATTTAGGAGTTCTGTTTCCTCCAACTTCTTTAATTCATACATTTTTAAAAGAGAGAGGTTGGTATGCAGTAGTGGTTTGGTTAGCTTCTACATCTTCAGTCACCTTCCTACATACAGGAATAATGAAAGTACCAATGTAACCCTGTGTTTTTTTTTTCCAAAATTATGGAAAAATGTCATTATTCATTGCATACAATTCATTATATTGAGAGAAGCTATTCTCAGCTCCATTTTTTTGGCATTTTATAATGTGCCATATGCCCAAGTGGCTAAACCGAAAAACAGGGACTTTCCAAGAGCAGAATCACACAGAATCACAGAATTTCTAGGTTAGAAGAGACCTCTAGATCGTCGAGTCCAACCTCTGACCTAACACAGAATGCTTCAAGGCTACAGCAAGCTACTTCTTGTGTTTCTTGTAGGGCATGAGGCTTTGAATAAAGGCAAGTATATTAGAATTCCTTACCAAAATCTGCTGGTTTGCTATGGGAAGTCTATAGAAAGTGTTAGGATTTGAAAAGTAATTAGTATTTCATGGCACCTACACAATAATAAATCTTGTACATATTTCAGAAGCTTCTGGTTGCAAGATGCAAACCCCCATGTACTTCTTTTGAATAAAAGTAATTGCTGCCATTAGTAACAAAATCATATTCTATTTGACCTGAGCAAATGCAGGCTGGTGCTTTCTCCTTGTATACTTGACTGTATCACAGTTTAGTAACACAGTTCTTCATCCCTGTCCATTTTCTGCCCCTACAGCTTATCTGGGCATGCGAGGAAGTCAGTTAGGGCTACCAAACTGTGCCTCAAGTTACACTTCACCAACGGGGCTCTTTCTAGTTTTTAGTTTACGGATCTCCGTTCTTGGTGAGAAGGTGTCTTAATTTACCCCTTCGTTACCTCATTTGTTTGATATCAAAGCCTACAAATTATTTCTGTTGGTTTGTGACCAGAATAAATTATCATCAAGATGCCATTCTCAGTTCAGGGGTGCATTCTGGACCCACGAACTCCTGAACCCCCCTCAGAACAGCTGACAGTAATCATTGCTCATGGGATGTGAACTGTGTCCATATGTGTTCCTGGACAGTTGCAGTGCTCTGGCCATAGGAATAGACCTGTAAGTTATTTAAATTGACTTCCTGAAGTACCACACAGGACTTGGTTCTGACTGTAACTTTAATGCTATGCCAGTTATTCAAATCTGCAGGTAGATATATCTGCCAGAAAGCAACGGATTTATCATCTGGCCTTGTTAGCTACTTATTGCTGACAACCAGAATGGTTACTGCCATCCGCTTGTATCTCTGTGCCATATATTGTGGAACCTTTGCAGATGCAGCGTGAAATTAGACACCATTTCCTGGCCCTTTCTAAAGGGTAAGATAATTCCAAGTAACAACCCCTTACTCAAAAAAACAAGCATTTGGGCCATTTAAGTGCACAGCTTGAATGTTTTTAGATATGTCTGAAAACATTTCTCATCTTGCAGGGTCCTTCAGTGTCCTAAGGTAAGCGTTGAAATTAAAGATTTTCCAAGTAGATTTCCATTCTTTTTTGGTTCCAAAATACGCTTTAAAGTTTGAAGTGTTTTTTATGCATTTGGAATTCCTTTTCCCATCATCTCTTCTAATGCCTGTTTTGATTCTGCTTTATTTTATTCTGTTATTTGTATGAGTGAGGAGACATGCAGTACAACATTTAAAAAAAAAACTTATTTAATAATATTTCTTTCTATTACTGTATTTTCTTTTTTTTTTGGAGTTAAACTTATTGCTCTTTCAAGTTTCAAAAGAGGCCAAAAGATCGTAATTAACTCTTGTAGTGCTTCTCAGATACTGAAATAATGTTTCTGGTAGCTTCAAATGAAGCACGGTCTTGAGTATTAAAGCTCCTGGCATAAGTACCCTTGTCTATACCCAGATGTCATGGGCCAGAAAGGTTATTTGCTTTTTGAGGAGAGAATAATAAACAACCACTCAGTAAGAATATTTTTCTTCATTTAAGATCTAGCTGCACTGTTCTTATCAATTATCAATCCAAGACAATGTATTATATTTTATCTAATCTGTGACCTTCAATTTTCTTCCATAAATGCAGAATTTTAATGCCTTTCTATTACAAGCAGAATGCTTTCATTAGATGTATAGCATGGTGGCATCTTGTTAACGTTTACCCTGTGTGTTTCTCTCATTTCTTCTTTTAGAGTTTCTCTGATTCACAAGCTACCAAAGACCCTGGACAAGATTCACAATATGCAGAGCATGAAGTTGATGTCATGAGAGCTCAGAAAAAACAGGTGTGTTGTTGTTGTTCAATTGCTCTTCACAGTCAGGTATTCCAGAGACACAAGCATTGCCGAATTGTAGAATATACATGTTTTTGCCTTTTGCCTTTAAATAATCTCAACTTTTCTTCAAGGACTCTTCAGCTTGGATATGTTATGGTTTTTGTTGCTGTTGGTGGTGGTAGACGTGTAGTGGGTAGAGAATTGTTAGATTTCAAAAGCTTTGGCTCTTGTGGTTTCTTTGGAAGTAATTCAAACTTCCCCTCTAGCTCTCTTCCAGAATTATTTCTCTAGAACAATATTGAAACAAAGCAGTGAAACTTTCTTGGCTGTAATTTATTCATTTCTGCACCCTGTGCTCTCATTTGGGCATTGGTTAGCAGAATTCATTAGTAGTGAATTAACACACACTGTGTGATGAACTAGGCTAATGCTATGGCACTGCCATATAGATATCAATGTATAACATCACACAAGTGAAAAATGTAGGTTTTACCAATATCGTAGGTATGGGCCTGTTAAACTTACATGTAATCCAAGATTTATATAGTTTTCTTTGTTTGGAAAGAATATTGCATACTTATTCTGGAAATTCTGTATTTCCTATAGATTCATTTGTTTCATGTGCAGAAAATTCATTGCTAGAATGACTGAGAAATGTTTCACTATTTTCAGAGGTTCTGTGTGGGCTATCTGCATGTCATTTAACTTCTTTGTGTACTAAGTTACTGTGCTTAAAAGAGGTTTTTATAACAGTGGTTAAAGATGATGGGTAGGGGAGACCTTTCAAAGATGGATTGTACCAACCTTGGTCTCGCATACTTTTTACAAACCACTCCTCTTAAGATGAAAGGCAGTTTTACTGAGGTGCACTGCAGTCAATCTCAATGAACCCTAGAATACCACAACAAATTTCTTCTTTTCATGCTTGTAAAAAGAAAGCCAAAGGATCAGATTATTACTGCTATCAAGTTTTTGTGGAGTTTGGTTAGATTGCATAAGGCCATAAACCTGTAGTTACCTCATCCAAAGAACTGCATTAATAATGTAAAAGAATAAAGCCATTCAAAGAATCCTATGCAGTCTTTGAACTTGCACATTACCTGTAATATCCTGTTAACTTAGGCATCAATTCTGAATTTGTTACATCAAGAGCAGTCTTAGATAACATTGCAATTTGTAAAGCATGTGGCTTTGGGAATTTATAATGTAATCTTATACTCAATATATCTATCTCAATATGACTTTATGGTGTATATTTTGAGATAATACTTCCGTCTTGCAAAAAAAAGTTACTGGTATTTGTTGATTAAATCATACAGGAAATGATTAATTTTTCTGGTTTTAAACAAAAGAGACAGGCTTTTAGAACACTAATCTGTTCAAGGGCACTGCAAACCAGAGTAGCTTCTTTTAGTTGGACTGCTACAAGTAATTTGAGTATTAAAGATAAAATTACTTTTGTTATCTACAGCTATTTTCTAAACCTCTTTATTGTAAGGTTCAGTTATTACAAGATTATTTGCATATTATTAATTTTGTTAAAGCAAAATTTTAAATGCATCATACGTCTGACATTCTCTTTGGAGTTTCATGCTATCTATTATTAGGAGGAACAGTATATTAAAATGTTTACTATGCAACATATTGCTAATGAAATCATGGGATGTAATGCAATGTGAAAGTTTCATATAATGACAGGGTACATATTGAAGTAATTTAAGTGCATGTTATTTTATTCGGTTAAGTAATGTGCTACTTTGGACTATAGGTGATCACAAGTTTGCTTGTTTATCTCAAAGATAAGCTTATAGGGGAAAAAAAATAAACGCAAATGTAGCAACAGGAAAAAAAAAATACAGTCTGTTATGGCATCTGATAGAACAATGTGCATGACTAAGTGAAATTTCAGCCTTAGTCAGGACTGGCAAATAATCCTGTAATTCATTTCTAGATAACTGTGGCAATGCAAAGTTCAGTAAAAATCAAGGCTGTTTCTCTGTTGCCTTCCATTTGTGAGGAACCTTTTCAGTGTCTTAGCATTGGATGCAGCCAGTTTTAAAATGCATCCTTGTAGTTTGGATAATATAGTCCTATTTCCAGGGATTTCCAAGTTTGTTTGAAGTCTGGTTGAAGAGTTTGTCTGCAGCAAGGGTTTATGAAGAAATAATGTGCCTTTTCAGAGCTGGCTACGATGATTCTTAACATAAAATCAGCTTTCAGAAGGATACACTCTAGCAGTGTAAAAGGTAAAATTGAGCATAAAATTAGAAGACAGATTTAAAAAAAATAAATATAGCAACAGGAAAGTACCTGGCTCGCTCTCCCATACTAGCTGTCAGCAAGTATTTATCTGAGATGCTTTGTGGCTGTAGATGTTAGAGTTCAGCTTATCAGCACTCAGTCATGGGAATGTTTTCTCTTAGACTAAATTAGTTTGGTTCCTTAATACTTTCCAAAGCGAACAATGAGACATACCATGCTATTACTAAACCTTTTTGTTATGAAAAACTCTGAGGCTACCTTTACACTGTGCCTTTGTTCAAGACAGAGCACGTTTCTCTTATTCAGCTCTGTCTTTCCAGTATTCTTTTCAGGAAATTCTTTTCTTTTTTCATACACCACAGACATAGAAAGTGCAGATTTATGATTTATGTCAAACAGTGCTATTGCAAATGTTTACTTTTTTTTTTTATTCTCTGGAGTTAAGCTATGAGAGTGAATATAGCACCCAGCATCTCCTTGGAATTTGCATAAAGGATAGAAATCCTTTATTATCTGGACATTTAACTGCACCTTCATTCATGGAAGCGGATGATAAAGCTAACCTTGAGCTGAGAACCAGATAGCCTCCCAGTCAGGTACTTAAGGAGTCAGTGTCACGCAGTGCTAAAGTTCGTACCAACAAGTCATTGTTACACAAATATATGACGTTAGGGATTGATGCCAGTTTTAGCTGAAGCCTAGCACTGTAAGTACTCAAAAATATAGTAATAATAAATTTCTACAAAGAATTAGATACCTGGTACCATTTGGTGTTAGCTTACAAGAAGTAACGGCAAAATTTCTCCAAGAACAGGGCTGTAAATTCTTAAGACAGGAAGGGAAAAAACCTGCTAATATGAAATTCACTGTATGTAGAATAAGGTTAAAATATACTCTGTCACTAGTCCTTTAATCAGTCATGCAAACATCAAATTTATCTGTCTGTAGTTTATGCAACTGCTGCTTTGTTTTGGTTTAAGATTCTGGATTGAAAACAGCTCTGTTGCTCACAAAATATGGTTCTAAGACATCTTTCAAGGAAGTATAGTCCTATTTTTCCCTGATAGGAATGGCCTAACGAACCAGATCATTCACAACTGGAATTCACCTTTGGTGTCAGGTCTGCCATGGCTAATTAGACTCCATCAGTGTCTGATCGCAATCGGGACTAAATAAGCCCACATGAGAGCCAGCCCTATTTCTTCCACATAGTGCTCTGCTATGACTGTGTTGCAGATCTTCAGACTATTTTAATCTTTAAGCAAAACACAGGACTTTGTACTGTGCAATGAACCTCCTTGGTTAGGCCAGTGGTGCTGGGCAGAGCAGTACGACACTCACCTTATCATCTTATCACCTGATGCATCAGGAGCATCTCGTCTCCTCCAGACGGGAAGTGCTAGGCTTCATATCATGGAGGAAAAGTTATGCAGGGTTGTACTCAGCTGCCAAGAATAAGCTTTTTTGTTTTCACAAGAAAACATGCCCAAATGGGTCCAACATAAGCTTTTTTTTTTCTTTCTTTCTTTAAATGTTGGTGTAATAGCCTTGTTAGAGCAATGTTATTGAACTTGCTACTGAAGCTCAGTGGGTTAAGATTTTTAATCCTTGTTTCAGTATTGTTGCTTTTTACCCTGTTCCAGATTGAGGGCAAATTCAGTAAGAAACTGCATTTAAAAAAAGGAAGTTAAAGTCACAAAAAGCCAGTCCCTCAGAACTGGGGAAATGCAACAATTAAGGCTTTTCCTACAGTCTTAATTTTTCCTCCTTGTTTGTAGACATTATGGTATTGTCTTTAATTACATGATCATACACTATTTTGCTGATGTCTCAATTCAATTGTTCAGTATTTCTTTTCATCATCCTTATTCTTTGTGTACCTTATTTCTCAACCTGCCATTCAGACACTTCAATGAACACAAAAGTATTAATTTTTTTCTCTGAGAATGTGTAGCAATGTTATCTTATCTGAGTGCCTCACAAACATCAGGTAAGTCTTTATTCTCAATCCCTTTATGAGATAGGTGTGATCTTCCCCAGCTGACAGATGAAGAATTTACAGAAATACAGAAGTTTTAAGTTTTCCTTTTTTTAAAAAAAAAAAAACAAAGAAAAAAAATCCCCTTTATGCCAGTGTTGAGACATCTAGGACAAGTTGCTAGCACACTAGTAATGTTTAAAGCATTCAAAGCTCATTGAAGGCATATTTGAATTGCAATTGTTAATGCTTCTGTAAAGCCAATCTGTGCACCCTGCACTTGGTACCCAGAAAAGAAAGGAAGCTTAATACTATCTTAAAACATTTTGGCTTATTTGGGGAGATATTTTTTTGCAGGATGTTCTTTTAGTTTGGAGAGAAGAACTCTTAGCTGATTATATAGCTACAGTATATTTCAGAAGTCTGCTTATGCTTGGTATATGGGACTTCACAAGCAGGAAGGTAGGGTTTGTCAAAATTGTCTCGGGAACGCTGTTGTATATATATATATTTTTTTTTCCATTGCTGACCTATAGAAATCTATTCTAGTTTGTTTTACACCAGAACTAAGGAAGTAGCCTTTCCTGACAGCACTGTCCTACCTGAATCACTAAATTTGTTAAAGATTCTTTTCAGTAAATTTCTTCCCATATAATCCTTTTGGTTTCTATGCTTTCATTTCTCATTGAATGTCATCTTAATTTGATGCATCTCTAAAATATTTATCATTTTGTGTTCTGTACTTCTGTACACAGTGGAATGGCTATATGGTTTTAATATAGGCTGATTCTGATCTTTTGCACTTTATAGCTTCGAATTGCCTTTGCATCAAATCACCTTGTAGCTAGTTAAAATTAGAGCAAAATAAATTCTGCTAAGTTACCTACCTCTTTCTTGAAACAGGTTAATCAGACTTGATAACATTTGTGAGGCTAATTATTTGGGCATCACCTATAGGCCTGAACTTCACAGCATTGTCGTTATGTGTAAAACCTCATTGTCCATTTCTACCCTTCCCTGTAGCATTGGAGGAAATTGTTAGAATTGGAATTATTTACTTGGCATAAATAGGATACGTGTGCTTCTTAAAATGATCACAGTATTCTCTACTACCGAACTGTTGGAAGCTTGCCAACAGTTCAGTACATTCTAAGATCATAATTACTTTATATTAATAATGAAGGAGTGAAAATACTGAGTAAAGGCTGGCTTACTGATGGAACTATACAGTAGTACTGGGGTTGTACTTAACAATGCAACTTAACTAGATTTAGACTGGATACAGTTTGTTCTACATTAGTCATCTGTGAATTATGTAACCGTAAAACCAGACTTTTGCAAGCATCTTGAAGGATATGCACTAATTAAAAATCCTCTTACCTGTTCACAAAGCTGTGGTGTTCCCTGAAAGTTTTGCATTGCTGATGAAGCTGCTGAAATTACTGCCTGAAAGAAAATCCAATGGAATTGCCTTGCAGTTTTTAGATGATGATTTCTCTGTTGCTCTGCCCTTCATTTTCTTCCTCCCTCAGTGCTTGAGACTGATAATTAATACTTCTTTTAAATTCACCGGGTGTGAATTTTGTCACTGGTATCTGTATATGTACAGAGAAACCTCAGTCTGTTAAGTCCACTCCATTAAAAACAGAACAGGAATCACAAACACTTGTCCACTTTTGAGGGTCTTCGCTGCATTTATACTAGTCACTTGTTCACGTCCAGCTCTTTTCCTTTTTCTTTAACCTCCAAATTTTCTTTATCATCATCCCAAGCTATTTCAGTACCAATACAACCATAATTACACAGACGTGATTTTCTGTGATTCCTGGAAACTGGATTTACTTTTTGCTTTGGCAGATAATTTTAATATGTCTTTTGTCTCTCTGTTTGCATGAATTCTTCAATAAGTAATGGAAACAACTGAAAAAAAAAAAAAAACAGCTTCTGCCTACTCAGTCCTATTCATAGCAATATATTTACATGGTAATATTTAGTGTCTTCACAGATCATGGACTGTCTAAATTTGGAAATTTTATTTTGGAAGCCATTCAAGTAACAAATGTTAAATGTGGCCTTCTACTCACTTTCAGACTGCACATCTATCTTTCTTTACTTGCACATAAAGCACATAAATAAATAATACTCCTTAGCAGACCTTCGTGGGATGGTTACCACAATATAGGACTTAATACTAAAGGGACTTGGTAAGTCATAGCAACACTAGATCAAAATTATCCTTAGGGTTAATTGAACTCAGTGAGAAATTCCAGCATAATTATTTATTTTGTGTTGTATTTAATAGCTAGTACATTCTTCTGATAAGATACAATGACCTTTTTTTTTTCCCATTGCAAGCAGTACATGCTTAGGTCTACCAGTTACCTCAATAGAGTATCATCTTCCTGCAAGTGTAGTCAAGTACAGCACCTGTAGTATAATTGTGTTAAAAATAAAAATCATACAGTACATTTTTTCCTACTGTGACAAGTTTTTTGTACGTGCTTTAGAGTATTAGACGGCTAATGTATCTCATCACTTTTAGTTATAAGGATATTAAATTAATATGTATTTGTGCTTCTCTTTTAGGAGCTTGAACAATACAAAAGAAATGCCTCTAAATCCTGGAAAGAAATGGATTTTGACCCTGACTGATGAACTGCTAAAGGTATCTTCAGTTTCACATTTGCAAAATTAATTATTTTAATGTTATACTAACAATTCACTTTTTTTAAAGTGGGGAGAGAAGAATTGTTCAGAGATATGGAGACTGGCAGCAGTCAGTCCTACCTATTTTATAATTGCTAACAAATTACTCAACTTACTTTTTGAACAATTCTGCCCTAAATGTGTATTAAATGCAAATATTTTTTTCACATCCAAAGTATGAAACTACATGATAAAGTATGCTAGGCATCTTTTCCTAGTTCCTTGCATATATGATTCAAAAGCAAAGCTTAAGAATACATTTGCATCATAGGATGATGCATTTGAATAGAACAGTTCCACAAAAACTGGCAGAACAAAATAGAAGTTCAACCAGTTTTGACCTGGTCTAAAATTCAAAAGTTTGCTTTACCAGGAATGGTAAAGCACTGTATAGCACTGTATAGCATTTTGGTATTACGGTGCCATTAATGGTATAGCACTGTATAGCATTTTAATACCTCTGCACAGAATTCAAGACAAGACATTCCTGTCAAATATTCAACTGCTACAAATTGTTTCTAATGAGTTTGACAGATACTTGGTTAGTGGTAGAAGCATAATTACTTCACATTCAGCCTAAACTTGGGAAATGCTAGCCTAAACTGTATACAGCTTTGTGTTCATGGATTTCCTCACTATAATTTAGCTGGACTGAGTCTTTTGAGAATATGCAAGTCAAGATCTGGATTAAGGCCAGACGTGTCTTTTGAGAGCTAAGCCTTGTAGACTTGTTGTCAGAGAGTAAATGCCTGAACAGGCTCTTGGCAGACCAGATTGTAAGAATATTCCCTGCTGAACAACCCTACATGGGCATAAAAATGGCAAAGAAACTAATTGGGTACTGTTCCATCCCTTTCTAGTTGTTTTTAACATATTTGTTCACTGATTACTTTTTCTGATGTAACTTAAGATATTTATATATAAAGATAATTAGAAAAAAAAAATGGCCTCACAGTTAAGTGGAAAAGTTGCACTAACTTGAGGATTTCATACCCTGTTAAAATGTGTAATCTCAAAACTGAAATTATTTTATTATGGAATTTTAAGATACAAGTATACTTATCTGTACAATGTAATCACTAGCTACACATTTTTTGTTCAATGAACAAATAATTTCTTCCTTGAACAGGAAAAGTAAGTTATAAAACTTAGGTATTCTGCATCTGCTAGTCTTTCAATTTGGGAAGTTACTTCTATTTATCATTTGGATAAATTAGACTCTTTCACATGTTAGCAAACCCACAAGAAAAAAATTTAAATAAAGATACAAATTATATCACTTCAAAAAAAAAAAGGGAAACATCTTTTTCCCCTACTTAAACTGATACTTTATTACCTTTTTTTTTCCTAGTAGTTCACAAAGTGCTTCCAAGAAGGGATTTAGAACTTGATAAACGTGAAGAACGAACAGATATAATAACAGCTGTCTTCTGTGATCTACCATCATTTACACAACTAAAACATGTTTGGTAACTTTTATATTGCTTAAAGATCATAACGATTATTGTACTCAGTGGTGGAATGGTTGGACAGTGTGTGTAAGATAAAAGTGAAATAATTTCTTGATTCTGTCATTATTTACACCGGTTAGTCTGTTTTTTTACAAATCTCCCAAATGGTATCAAAACCAAGCATACTACTTTAAATACAATTCTAGGAGAAAGAGTTACTAGCAATTATACCCCTTGGCTTATTGGTAACGGTTAAAACAAAAATAACAACAACAAAATTGGAGAAAGAATTAGAGCACCAGTGAGATATATTGCTAAAAATGACAACATCATCAGACTAAATTAAATTCAAAAGCCTTTTCAAAGATATAATACTGTTGATATGGCTAATTTAGGAGTGGGGTACAAGGAATAGCATGAAGTCATTCACCCTCTTAAGAGAAGCTTGTTTTTCAAGATGGAAAGCATCCAGTTAGTACAAACAAGAGAAGATGAATGTGTTTTTTTATGTATGGTCATTTAAATTCTGAAATCTAAAATCCAGCGAATCGAGACTTCAACTATAATGAAATTAAGCAAGTAAAATTTAAAATTACATATTGTCAGACCTACTACCTTTTTTCACTGCCTGCTAATAAGTTTCTCTCTTATTTTGAAGCTCAGGATTGCTATAACAGCAAGTACTGGTACAAAAGCATAGAGCAACAAGAAATCCATTGTGAACCGGGACAATGCACCAGGAAAGGTTTTGTCAATGAACTGGGTGCCATGGGAGAATATACATGCGGAATTAATTGTAGAACTGTTGACTCCCCCTGTCAAAAGAAAAAATTAATTCCTTCAGCAGGTTAATTGGTAAAATTAAAACTCAGGCTCCAGTATCTACCTCTTACATGTAATGTAGCTAGCCTTAACGTTATTGTAATGACTTACTGCTCATAGCTATAGGTCCCACTGTTCGGGTGTAAGAGAATCCATATGTTTCTGCAGTTAATCTATGCCTTATTTTTTTGAAGAAATGAACAAAGGTACACTAGGAGCTTTCTGTTTTGTTCATACTAAGTAAAAGATTTGTGGCTTTTCAAGTAGGTAGTCTAGAGGGGGCCTCAAGAACCAAGACTTGCGTCATTCACATTAACCATCAGCTGCTGATGGTCACTACCAAAGGCATGGAGTCTTTTTCTAACAGGTGTTTGCCAGGTCATATTCAAACAGTTGCCACCTACCTTCTTATAGTGAAGGGAACAGGAGAGATTGATGACGAACAGCGAGTGAATAAAGAATATGGAATGTGTCTCTGCTTTGAGACAAGCACAGACACCTAGCTACAAAGCCCAGAATAGCTTAGGGCAGGCCCAGAGCTGTAAGTTTACTGCTGGTGATGGATACACATCATCCTTCTGATCTCTCCAACCTGATTCTAATGTTGTGCCCCTTACCTTGCTCACAAACAGCAAAGCACAACCTGACAGAGATCTAAGCCGCTCAGTATTTGCTGTGGTAAAACACATTTGAACTGAAGCTTCACTAGAATTAGAGGAAAAATGTGCTCAGGTGTTTTCTGTACTGCTCCCTTCACCAATCTTTGATCCTGCATTGCATAATTCTGTTGATACTCTATGTGTAATAGTTGTGATAAGCACATAGCAGGCTGCAAAGTTTACTTTCTAAATCAACTCAAAGGGGAATAAAATAACATACAAAGAAGAAAAATATAAAAAAAAAAAAAACTGAAAGAATGAGAAATAGTTGGGAAAAAAAGTAGTCAAATATTTCTCCAGCTTGCAGATACAGAGTTTTAGTAAGTCTTTACTAATCACTGATTTTTTTTAAACAGCTAACACGTTGTCTAAATCTTTAAGCTATCAGGATACTTTTATTGGTTGCAGAAGGAAGATAAGCCTCAACATCTCATTAAAATTATTTACATTAGACTTAAAGATTTTTTTTTATTGCACACTTACCACAGGTGAAGCTTAAGCCATAAAATTCATTGACTACAAGAATCTCACTGCTGTATTTTTGAAAGGTAAGGTAACTGAGTATTTTAAAAGGTGGTGGCATTTCTTCTATGGTCCTATAAGAAACAGAGAAGTTAAATTGTCTTTTGCTACATTCCAAGAGCCAGTTCTGCCCCAAATGAAAACAATCTCTTAACTTTGGTTATAGCCTGTTACAGCAAGACTTCTTGGCTGTACATGAAGGGTTTTCAAACAGTCTGTCTTAGTGCTAAATGAGGCGACAGCAACAAAGGTTGTCTCTGTCTTTATGACACTGTGCAGTGTCATAGCATTCTGTCCGAAGTTGTTTATGGGAAGTCACAAATAATTCTGTGAAGTTTTTTATATTCATTTTGCAGAGATAAACTGAAAATGAGAAGAACTAATATAAACACTACCCTGTTTCTACATTTGAAACCACCACCCCCTCATTCTATCTTCAAAACTAAAAAAGGGTGAGCATCAATTCACTGGATACAGTAATAAAGCAAAGAAGAATATGAAGAGAAGTAGATTGTGAACATTTAGAAATATTATTATTCAACAAGACTGGGCAATTCTTGCACCTAAAAGTTTGCAAGACTTTTTATAATTAAACAACTAAAACAACAACACATGCCATTTTTAATATACCTCACTGTATATGAAGTTTAATTATCACAGAGATTCACAATATTAATTAGAGTGGTTTCTAGCCTCACTTTACAGCGAAGACATGGCTAATACTTTAAAAAAAAAAAAAGTTTTTTTTTAAAGTTAAAAAACTACAGTAACAGAAATAACTGTCTTGTTATTAGAAACATATATATTCCTGAAATTAGGTAGGGGCCACATTAATTAGATATCAACTTAGTTTTATTTGATAAACAAGTATTAGCTGAGATCTGTGAACAGACATCATCAGCTTTGTGAAGACTCATGCTTTTCTTGAGGACAACCTAATGCCATGTATTGTTAAGCTTATTTCATTTTCATTGGAAAGGGCTCAGTTGTGCATATCATATTTTTTAGGCATCTGAAGCACACATTTCACTAATATGTTTATTCTGAGATGTTTCTCAAAGAAATGATGGTTTCAAGGCTGACATGCAAGGGGAAAACTCGTCAAAGTTCACGTACCATGCAAAAACATGTATATGCACAATGATGCAGCAAGCGAATTTTAATGTTCCTTCCTATTTATAAAACTAATTATTGATTTAACATTTTTATGTTGTTGGCTTTACACAGAAAAAAAAAGGTCTGAAATTTATAATGACTACACTGCAGAAGAACGCTACTAAGATAACTGAGAAAAACTTTTTTTTTTTTTCCTAAAACCATAATTCCAGTATTTAGTACCTGTTACTAAATACTGTTACTGAAAGCTCCGGAATATATATATATTTTTTTGAAGAATCCTTTAAAATGGACAGCATTTCAGGGAATCATGTTGGCATTACCGAAAGTATTCAGCTGAGCTGGCTGATTTGAATTGCTTGGTTTTATCTCCCATTTATTTCCAAAATAAGACAGTGAAAAAATTAAACATTTTAATATCTTTGCTGATAAGTAAAGCTATTATTTATGTGTGCATTTGTATTTAGTACCACATCTAATGTGATTAGATAGTTCTTTTGAAGATAAAAGTGGCACTTTTGTTCCCTTGCTACCTATGCATTATGCTACTTAAGCAACACAGATCGTTCATGAAACTCCTCTATAGGTAGACTATTTGAACAATAACACCATAAATAAAACTTTTTCTTACCTTACAAGTCCCGTTCCCACTACTACGCCTGCTGAGTTAAGCAGCACCACTCCACTTTGGACTATATTTGGGTTTTGAACCACACCAAGCATTACAAGCGTAAGTAGTTCACCAATTACATGACATGCAAAGACAACAGCAAAGAAAATTCCAAATCTGAAAACATCAGGATACAACCCTACGGTCCTGTACAAAAAAATGAACAGAAGAAAATTTTAAAAACATGGGTTTGATACTAGACTTGAAATGTAACCACTATTTTTGGCTTTATGAATTTTTGCTATCACAGCACATTAAGTGAACTGTTTATCCCTTAGCTCCTTGCACGTTCTTTGGAGCCTTAACAGGAAGGACATCCCTTAATTTCATGTGTGCAGACACATTAGGTTTTCTCCATCTAGATTAAAACGGGGTATACATGCATAAAGATGTAACTAGGAAAAATCTGTATTATTTCAAGATAACCACCATGGCTTTAAAGATCATTTAAACTAACATTGGCCCACCTTCACAGTCTATACACTTAAGTTATTTATGTAAGTCACATTTGAAAAGAACATCTTTATGCAGATAATTAAGAGGGAATTTTGTACGTCTGATACTGTCCTTGCAAATGTAAAAATTGATATGTTCATCCTAATCAAAAGGAAAGATAATTGAATTCAGCACCCTTGTAATTCATCCAAATGCAACTTCCTCCAGATTTGTACACTCTTGAATAAACAACCTGCTGTTCCTACCTTTTCCCTCAATTAATTAAGGAAATGTACCACCACGCCCAATTTGTACTAAGGAGTAAAAAGTTAGGAAAAGCCAGCAATTGCTTGGCAAACTCAATTCAGCCTTGTAGCATCTGTGACAGATGACAAAACCTTTTATTATATGGTGACATATTACTAATCATTTTTCACAATACCTCACGCCAAAATTGCCTTATTCTAGGTATGTACTGCATACTCTGCTTAGCTAACAGGCAGGTATTCAACACTACTTTTTCATCTTCATTGCTCAGGGCCCTCTGTCTTTTTTATAATGCACCATGCTTGAACCATGATCTTAAAATAGAACTATTAATTTTCTCACAGTCTTTTCTGTAGCATTTTTTGTATGTAACACTGAAATAATCGCTATTATAAATAGGTGGCTGAACATGGACTCTTCAAGTATTAAACACTCACTGAGCGAGCGGGTATTTAACAACCTCTAATCACAGCTTGGTACAGAAGGAGCAGCTCTCCGAAGTCCTAGCATTAAAGCATCACCTTTTCTGAAGTGCTCCAATACTTCTTACTATGAGCTATGCAGACCCAGGCTAGTAAATCAGGGCAGGAATAGAAGCAGAAGAAAAAAAAAAAATCACA